GCAACACTACCGAGTTCCAAACTGCCTCTGGAAGCAACGTCAGCACAAGAACTGTTCGTCGGGAGCTTCATGAAATGGGTTTCCATGGCCAAGTAGCCGCACACAAGCCTAAGATCACCATGCGCAATGCCAAGCATCGGCTGGAGTGGTGTATATCTCGCCACCATTGGACTCTGGAGCAGTGGAAATGCGTTGTCTGGAGTGATGAATCACGCTTCACCATCTGGCAGTCCGACGGACGAATTTGGTTTGGCAGATGCCAGAGGAACGCTATCTGACCCAATGCATAGTGCCAACTGTAAAGTTTGGTGGAGGACGAATAATGGTCTGGGGCTGTTTTTCATGGTTCGTGCTAGACCCTTAGTTCCAGTGAAGGGAAATCATAACGCTACAGCATACAATGACATTCTAGACGATTCTGTGCTTTCAACTTTGTGGCAACAGTTTGGGGAAGGCCCTTTCTGGTTTCAGCATGGCAATGCCCCTGTGCACAAAGCAACCCTATCGCACACCTTTGGGATGAATTGGAATGCCGACTGCGAGCCAGGCCTGATCGCCCAACATCAGTGCCCGACTTCACTAATGCTTTTGTGGCTGAATGGAAGCAAGTCCCCGCAGCAATGTTCCAACATCTAGTGGAAAGCCTTCCCAGAAGAGTGGAGGCTGTTACAGCAGCAAAGGGGGGACCAACTCTATATTAATGCCCATGATTTTGGAATGAGATGTTCGACGAGCAGGTGTCCACATACTTTTGGTCATGTAGTGTATCATACTAAGTTTAGTGTCCCCGATTTACTTTTACTATGTTATGTTTAGTCTATGAGACCAGGCTGGTTTACAGGATGTCCAATGTGCCTCGACTGGGTGGGCAATCCTGGCATCTGTTCAATCAGAGAGGCGACTAGGAGGGGGTTGTAATCAGCACCACACACAGTCTCACCTGTACTTGTCCTTCCTAAACATGTTGGCAGTGATAACACTCTGGAGACACAGACAGAGAGCGCAGGTGGCGTCAATTGGGAATGGCAGTCGCCATGCCTTAGCTCAACACCAACAATTTAAAATGGGTTACTAAAATCATTCCAATCCCGATTAAAAGGCACATGCAGTTTAGCGGTATAAACGGGCTGGCTTTAGGACAGAGCCGACGGCTCCGAGCGGGCGGGAAGGCTATTTGCCCGGCTGGCTGGCTTTAGGATAAGCGCATTGACGCAGCTGCACTGAATAGCGCGACTTTTCCCTCAAAACAGTGTAGAGGTGGAAGATGGCTGTACTAGATGGCATGGCTAGGAAACTGCTTTTTGACTTGACATGAAACGAAACTAGAGTTTTTAATTCTGTGTTTGTAGCAGCCAAGGTGATAATGGCTGAACTACATTTTACTTGTATCTGCTGTTCTCCAAATGTATTTTTTAAGTTTTGAAATTGTGTAGAAATGCAGTAAATGAGCTTCAATTTTGTTCAAGTAAAAAATATTAATTTATGGACAATATATTAAGGCTATACACATTTTTATGAAAAATATGTATTTGTTGGCCAGTTAAAGGGTTAAACAAGGTCACTGCAGTAGAGTTGTCACCTAATGTGGACAGTTCTTATTCGTTTTCATTATAGTACTACTTGGAATAACATCTCTTATCTCTCAAACAACAGAGTAGAAAATAGTGACTTTGCTGTGGGCACTGGGAAGAGGAGGCTGGGGCCTTGAACATGAGAGTGCCCATAGAAGTTATTAGAAGAGATGCTTTCACAAGTGGAAGGGGGACTTTGCACAGTTGGAGCACCTTTGCAGATGTTTGTCTTGAAAAGAAATCTCCAAGCATGTTGTTTGTTTAAGGACATGACCGTATTCTAATGAGCCCTGCTCTGCAGAGCTCTTGAAGTGTGTCAGTGAAGCTGGGGAACAGATGCCCCCTGGGACTCTTCTACTGCCTCCCCACTGAGCTGCCAGCAACACAAGGAAAGGGCTCCACTTTCTTCTCCTTGGTGGGCAATTCTATTGTATATAGCCCTAAAATATTATTGCACTTGTGCATCCTTCCACCTTTTTGAATTGCAGACAGTATTTTGCATAATTACAGACAGATAAAGCCTGATCTTTTTGTAGGGAGGATTGTGCAACACTTGCAAGGTTGCCATAGAAACACAACTCATTGTCAGATTTGAAGCCATGCAGCCCAGTTTGATACCGTGGGGTTCCATGAAATGAGTGCCTTTTGTGTCCCTTTGGTATTTTAAATAGAACTTGTGCACCAATATTGCATTTTAAAAGCATGTTATATTTCAGTTAAGTGCCCTTTAATGTAGACCACATGGAGAATTCAATAAATCAGATTTGTTATATGAATAAAGACTTGCTAAAGTGCCAAAACTCAGCATTTTGCCATGTCCCTCCTTGCACCCTCTGTGACTTAAACCCAAAATGTATCAACGTTTTCCCCATCATTGTAAAGCCTAGTTATTTTGTTGCTTTGACAAAGTCATTTGTATTTATTTAATGTGATTAGTGATTCATTTACGTCTGTCCCTCATTTTAAGGTCAACCCTGTTATGTGAACTGAACTCTCATTTTAATACAGTGAAACTATCCTTTTTAAAATATTTATTTCCAAAGAAACATTGAACATCTAATAGTGAAATCATTGTGTAAAAGCAGGTGAGCTGTTCCGACTCTTTTTGGCAATTTACTGGTGTTTTGTGGTGGAAAACTGAGCAGGTCGAGCATAACACATCAACTCTGTTACCCATAGATAGAATGTTTTAACAATTCATTTTTTTTGTTAAGCTTGCATTCAATCGCAACACAACAAGCTTCCATTACCTCTGTCACAAGGGGATTTATGGCTGATTTAAGATGAAATCATCAACCCTTTTATGGTCAACACTGCTACTTTATCTGGCACTTACTAATCCTCTTAAATGTTAAGTCCCCTATATATGGGACTTTGAGCGGTTCTGGACCGGTACCGGTATGAAAAAAGTATGAAAATGTATGCACTCACTAACTGTAAGTCGCTCTGGATAAGAGTGTCTGCTAAATGACTAAAATGTAATGTAAATGTGCCGACTGACATTTTGGTGTACAAAGCGCTCTGCTCTGTGAAAGTCGTAGGGTCCAGTGCCTTATAGCCAGAAAGCCCCATCTGTCTGCTCTCAGCTACCAGAGCTGACTTGAAATGTCAGGTTTCACACCCTACATTTGCATAGGGAGTGACATGTCACATTTTCTGGCCTATCAAGACAAATAATTGATTTGGTCTCCCTGAGTGACAGAGCCCAGCCTGGGAGATGGTATATGAAATGGGACAGTCTAGCGATTTCAGCAATCGTGGTTTCATCTCGCTGTGATATTCTCCGCTGGATTTAGAGCTCGCAGCATAAAATAAACCGCAATAATTTCATAGAATTGAAACACGAGCACTTTCACTTCCTGCTTAAAGCTGAAGTTGTAACGAGTCTGGAGCCATTTGGATGGTGCCTGTATGCTTAGAGGAGGCTTGGCAGAAAATGCTCTGTCGTCAGTTATATGAAATGGGGACAAATATGTACAGTCACTAAATATTATCATATTTATTTTACAATTATAAGAAAGGTGAAATCTTATAGTAAGATGTTTGAATTTGATTGTTGCTATATTTACAAAGCATTTCAGTAATTTCAAGCCCTATTCCCCCACTTTTGTTGAATAGGAAAAAATATAATATATTATTTTCTATACTTTCATAATATTTGTACTGTACTTGAGCTTGTGTCCTCAAAAGTGAGTACACCTCAGCAATGTATAACTATTTTTTACCAGAAAGGTGAGTTCCAGACCTTTCTAGAACTATGCAGCATTTCTAGTTATTTTTTATGTCCATCTCATGAAAAAGATTTACTTTTGGGTGTGTCTATTTAGGCAGAAATCTACATTTTGCATTATCATGCAAGAGGTTTTTAATGGGCACTTACTATAGTTTTTTATTTATTCAACCTCTTGAGGTGGGAAAACATGTTGTTGTTGTTTTTTACATGTGCTCTTTATGACAGAATGTTACAATTTGGTGAAATCAAACTAATTTACACATCTCAACAGGCAGTGAATTGGTGGAACATCCCACCAATGTTTACCCCAGCCAATTTGTCTTTCAATATTCCAATGTGTCTTTCACTATTTAACTGCCTATACCTATGAATTGAGGATGCTTTTGAGTGCATGAGGGTGTTGGCTGTCCTATCAATGAAGGCAAGTTTAAGGGAGGGGGTAGTGTTTGAATTCCGTGAGATAGACAGTTATGTAGCTAGTGTGTTTAGGGATAATAATAATAATAATAATAATAATAATAATAATAATAATAATAATTAGGGATAATGTGCACATTAAAATGTAATCACAATCAGAAATGTGAAAAGAAAGACACAATGGCATCTGGACGCTATTTACAATTCAGGAGTTTAATAATTAATGTTGACCGTATGAAATGTATTTGACAAGCAGATAAAAGTGATAAAAGATGGCATGTTCACCGCAATTTCCATCTTGCTAAATGTATTATTAGTCTAATGTCGCCATCTAGCGGTTAATTGTAGTACAGTGGCTGGTAGGCCTAACTGCACACATTCAGCGTGATATAGGAGGATGTATGACGGGATTATTGAAAATGTTTGTGATAATGGGATTCATGAAAATGTTTGTGATAATGGGAAACTACACATTGGCTTGTTTTTCTTGCTTTGTTGACACGTTTTTCCTTGTCCTTTGAGGGTGTATCATTGTGACAAGTTACATAGTTGCGTTCCTTTCCTTGCCATACAAATTTCAATTATGACAGGTCCCACGCGATTATTGTGGTTTGCAACACAGCTGCTCGCGCAACAATTTAAATCGTTCCCAAACATTCCATGACAGTTTGTCTCGTAACAACGGACAATACAATCAATCGGTTATTTTGTTGGTTGTTATCGGTCACAATAAGGTTTTCTCTTAAGTTTAGCCAGCTAACTTGCTAATATTTGCAACAATGGACAGGCATCCCATGCGAAGAGCACAAATTACATTCAAGAAAAGTGAACAATGTAAAAACGAAGATGACAGTGGGCCTCCACCTAGTAAGAAAAATGCTAATGAAAGCGAGTGCCCTGCATCTTCAACAGAGAGGCATCGAGGTGATGGAGAACAGAAGAGACCAGTGGGTAGGCCTAAAGGCAGTGGACGTTCTGGAAATAACGTTAGTGAAGATGTTCAGGTCAGGCCTAAAGTTATTTTCAAAGCTGAGAGTAAATGGGGTGGTGATGGAGCTCTAATGCCCACATGTTCAACACACCTCAGGGGAGCCATTCAAGGTCGACCCGTTACATTTGAAAAGGAAAGAGCATCATCATCAGTCAGTAAACAGAGTAAAGCCACATCTGATCATCCCACGACCTCTCAAGTGTTGGAGATCATCACACCTGCTCCAGGTCAGGCCAAGGTCAAAGTTGTCCAAGAACTGGCAACAACGTATCGTCAAGGATGTCCACCTGTGACTCCCACTATAGACTTCTCCAAACCGATCCATGTTGTACATGAAAATGGGATGACCTTCACAGTATTGGATGGTAAAGCCATAACGCTCAGCAAAGTTCCATACCCACCACCTGTTCATGTGAATGTTCAGCCACCCCCAGTAAAGGTGAAGACAAGAGGGATGAATCTCACCATGCCACCATCAGAAGCAGGTATGACTAAGAGCTTACCTAAATTTTACATAAGGATTTAATGTTTTTAATACTTTTCAACAGATAATTGTCACGTATTGAGTTCATGCACAATCCAAAACTCTATGTGAAACATGGCCTTCTAGAAAATCTGGAAGTACCACGGAGCGTAGACAGAAATGGCTACATCAAGAGGCCTATGAATGCGTTCATGGTCTGGGCAAGAATCCACAGGCCTGCCCTGTCCAAGGCCAACACAACAGCCAACAATGCAGACATCAGTGTGCAACTAGGAGTAGAGTGGACCAAGCTCACCGAGGAAGAGAAGAGGCCCTACTATGAGGAAGCACGTAAACTCAAAGACAAGCACAGACAGGAGTTCCCTGGTAAGCATAGAGCAGGCTGTCTACTCCACTCACACCATTCAAGTCCATTTAAACATGTATAATTATCGGCTCATATATGTATCATATTTCAAAATTCATATAGCTCTGACACGTATAACCTTTACTTACTTTTCAAGTGTTTGTTCACAATCTTCACCCATAATCATCACAGGTTGGATCTATCAGCCCAGACCTGGAAAAAGAAAGGGCTACCCTTCTGTGATGTCCTTTGCCCCCCAACCATCCTCCTGCTCTGCAGGGACAAGTGGTCCTGGGGCTGAGTCTTATCCCATGACCATGACGACTATGGCCACCACTACCACCAGCTCCTGTGTTCCATACACACGGGCCACAGGTAAAGGAATAGCTCACTATCTGGCTATCAGGGTGGACATTTTTTGGGGGGGTCCACCACTTGCAGTGGCTGGTGGATGCTCAGATTTTGCCAGCCACTAACATTTTTTACTAGACATATTTTTTTCTGAAACTTAATAAATAATGAAGATAAATCACAGTAAAGACATGCGCATGTTTTGTAATGTTAAAACAACAATTATTGAATGGTTTTCACCACTGTAGCATTGAGATTCTCTCTTCCAGAGCTCACATACAGTTGAAATTGGAAGTTTACATACACTTAGGTTGGAGTCATTAAAACCAGTTTTTCAACCAAACTATAGTTTTGGCAAGTCGGTTAGGACATCTACTTTGTGCATGACACAAGTAATTTTTCCAACAATTGTTTACAGACAGATTATTTGACTTATAATTCACTGTATCACAATTCCAGTGGGTCAGAGGTTTACATACACTAAGTTGACTGTGCCTTTAAACAGCTTGGAAAATTCCCGAAAATGATGTCATGGCTTTAGAAGCTTCTGATAGGCTAATTGACATAATTTGAGTCAATTGGAGGTGTACCTGTGGATGTATTTCAAGGCCTACCTTCAAACTCAGTGCCTCTTTGCTTGACATCATGGGAAAATCAAAAGAAATCAGCCAAGACCTCAGAAAAAAATTTGTAGACCTCCACAAGTCTGGTTCATCCTTGGGAGCAATTTCCAAACGCCTGAAGGCACCACGTTCATCTGTACAAACAGTAGTACGCGAGTATAAACACCATGGGACCACGCAGCCGTCATACCACTCAGGAAGGAGACGCGTTCTGTCTCCTAGAGATGAACGTACTTTGGTGCGAAAAGTGCAAATCAATCCCAGAACAACAGCAAAGGACCTTGTGAAGATGCTGGAGGAAACGGGTACAAAAGTATCTATATCCACTGTAAAACGAGTCCTATATCGACATTACCTGAAAGGCCGCTCAACAAGGCAGAAGCCACTGCTCCAAAACCACCATAAAAAAGCCAGACTACGATTTGCAACTGCACATGGGGACAAAGATCGTACTTTTTGGAGAAATGCTGTGGGGGTGCTTTGCTGCAGGAGGGATTGGTGCACTTCACAAAATAGATTGCATCATGAGGAAGAAAAATTATGTGGATATATTGAAGCAACATCTCAAGACATCAGTCAGGAAGTTAAAGCTTGGTCGCAAATGGGTCTTCCAAATGGACAATGACCCCAAGCATACTTCCAAAGTTGTGGCAAAATGGCTTAAGGACAACAAAGTCAAGGTATTGGAGTGGCCATCACAAAGCCCTGACCTCAATCCTATAGAAAATGTGTGGGCAGAACTGAAAAAGCGTGTGCGAGCAAGGAGGCCTACAAACCTGATACAGTTACACCAGCTCTGTCAGGAGGAATGGGCCAAAATTCACCCAACTTTTTGTGGAAAGCTTGTGAAAGGCTACCCAAAACGTTTGACCCAAGTTAAACAATTTAAACGCAATGCTACCAAATACTAATTGAGTGTATGTAAACTTCTGACCCACTGGGAATGTGATGAAAGAAATAAAAGCTGAAAGAAATAAATCTCTCTACTATTATTCTGACATTTCACATTCTTAAAATAAAGTGGTGATCCTAACTGACCTAAAACAGGGAATTTTTACTAGGATTAAATGTCAGGAATTGTGAAAAACTGAGTTTAAATGTATTTGGCTAAGGTGTATGTAAACTTCCGACTTCAACTGTATATTCTTATTCCATTCCTTTACTTAGTTTTGTGTGTATTAGGTTTTTGTTGTGGCACTGTTAGATATTACTTGCTAGATATTGCTGTAAACTTCCGACTTCAACTGTATGTATATATGTGTATATATATATATACAGTGGGGAGAACAAGTATTTGATACACTGCCGATTTTGCAGGTTTTCCTACTTACAAAGCATGTAGAGGTCTGTAATTTTTATCATAGGTACACTTCAACTGTGAGAGACGGAATCTAAAACAAAAATCCAGAAAATCACATTGTATGATTTTTAAGTAATTAATTTGCATTTTATTGCATGACATAAGTATTTGATACATCAGAAAAGCAGAACTTAATATTTGGTACAGAAACCTTTGTTTGCAATTGCAGAGATCATACGTTTCCTGTAGGTCTTGACCGGGTTTGCACACACTGCAGCAGGGATTTTGGCCCACTCCTCCATACAGACCTTCTCCAGATCCTTCAGGTTTCGGGGCTGTCGCTGGGCAATACGGACTTTCAGCTCCCTCCAAATATTTTCTATTGGGTCCAAGTCTGGAGACTGGCTAGGCCACTCCAGGACCTTGAGATGCTTCTTACGGAGCCACTCCTTAGTTGCCCTGGCTGTGTGTTTCGGGTCGTTGTCATGCTGGAAGACCCAGCCACGACCCATCTTCAATGCTCTTACTGAGGGAAGGAGGTTGTTGGCCAAGATCTCGCAATACATGGCCCCATCCATCCTCCCCTCAATACAGTGCAGTCGTCCTGTCCCCTTTGCAGAAAAGCATCCCCAAAGAATGATGTTTCCACCTCCATGCTTCACGGTTGGGATGGTGTTCTTGGGGTTGTACTCATCCTTCTTCTTCCTCCAAACACGGCGAGTGGAGTTTAGACCAAAAAGCTCTATTTTTGTCTCATCAGACCACATGACCTTCTCCCATTCCTCCTCTGGATCATCCAGATGGTCATTGGCAAACTTCAGATGGGCCTGGACATGCACTGGTTTGAGCAGGGGGACCTTGCGTGCGCTGCAGGATTTTAATCCATGACGGCGTAGTGTGTTACTAATGGTTTTCTTTGAGACTGTGGTCCCAGCTCTCTTCAGGTCATTGACCAGGTCCTGCCGTGTAGTTCTGGGCTGGTCCCTCACCTTCCTCATGATCATTGATGCCCCACGAGGTGAGATCTTGCATGGAGCCCCAGACCGAGGGTGATTGACCGTCATCTTGAACTTCTTCCATTTTCTAATAATTGCGCCAACAGTTGTTGCCTTCTCACCAAGCTGCTTGCCTATTGTCCTGTAGCCCATCCCAGCCCATAATTTTATCCCTGATGTCCTTACACAGCTCTCTGGTCTTGGCCATTGTGGAGAGGTTGGAGTCTGTTTGATTGAGTGTGTGGACAGGTGTCTTTTATACAGGTAACGAGTTCAAACAGGTGCAGTTAATACAGGTAATGAGTGGAGAACAGGAGGGCTTCTTAAAGAAAAACTAACAGGTCTGTGAGAGCCGGAATTCTTTCAGGTTTGTAGGTGATCAAATACTTATGTCATGCAATAAAATGCAAATTAATTACTTAAAAATCATACAATGTGATTTTCTGGATTTTTGTTTTAGATTCCGTCTCTCACAATTTAAGTGTACCTATGATAAAAATTACAGACCTCTACATGCTTTGTAAGTAGGAAAACCTGCAAAATCAGCAGTGTATCAAATACTTGTTCTCCCCACTGTGTATATATATATATATATATATATATATATATATATATGCATATACACTACCAGTCAAAAGTTTGGGCACACCTACTCATTCAAGGGTTCTTCTTTATTTTTACTATTTTTTACATTGTAGAATAATAGTGAAGACATGAAAACTATAAAATAACACATATGGAATCATGTAGTAACCAAAAAAGTGTTCAACAAATCAAAATATATTTTATATTTGAGATTCTTCAAATAGCCACCCTTTGCCTTGATGACAGCTTTCCACACTCTTGGCATTCTCTCAACCAGCTTCATGAGGTAGTCACCTGGAATGCATTTCAATTAACAGGTGTGCCTTGTTAAAAGTTAAATAGTGGAATTTATTTCCTTCTTAATGCGTTTGAGACAATCAGTTGTGTTGTGACAAGGTAGGGGAGGTATACAGAAGATAGCCCTATTTGGTAAAAGACCAAGTCCATATTATGGCAAAAGCAGCTCAAATAAGCAAAGAGAAACGACAGTCCATCATTACTTTAAGACATGAAGGTCAGTCAATACGGAACATTTCAAGACTTTGAACGTTTCTTCAAGTGCAGTCGCAAAAACCATCAAGTGCAATGATGAAACTGGCTCTCATGAGGATGGCCACAGGAATGGAAGGATAAGTTCATTAGACTTACCAGCCTCAGAAATTGCAGCCCAAATAAATGCTTCACAGAGTTCAACTAACAGACACATCTCAACATCAATTGTTCAGAGGGGACTGTGTGAATCAGGCCTTCATGGTCGAATTGCTGCAAAGAAACCACTACTAAAGGACACCAATAAGAAGAAGAGACCTGCTTGGGCCATGAAACACGAGCAATGGACATTAGACCGGTGGAAATGTGTCCTTTGATCTGGAGTCCAAATTGGAGATTTTTGGTTCAAAACGCTGTGTCTTTGTGAGACGCGGTGTGGGTGAACGGATGATCTCCGCATGTGTAGTTCCCACCGTAAAGAATGGAGGAGGAGGTGTTATGGTGTGGGACTGCTTTATTTAGAATTCAAGGCACACTTAACCAGCATGGCTACCACAGCATTCTGCAGCGATACGGCATCCCATCTGGTTTGGGCTTAGTGGGACTATCATTTGTTTTTCCACAGGATAATGACCCAACACACCTCCAGGTTATGTAAGGGCTATTTTACCAAGAAGGAGAGTGATGGAGTGCTGCATAGGATGACCTGGCCTCCACAATCCCCCGACCTCAACCCAATTGAGATGGTTTGGGATGAGTCGGATGGCAGAGTGAAGGAAAAGCAGCCAACAAGTGCTCAGCATATGTGGGAACTCCTTCAAGACTGTTGGAAAAGCATTCCAGGTGAATCTGGTTGAGAGAATGCCAAGAGTGTGCAAAGCTGTCATCGAGGCAAAGGGTGGCTATTTGAAGAATTTCAAATATAAAATATATTCTAATTTGTTGAACACTTATTTGGTTACTACATTATTCCATATGTGTTATTTAATAGTTTTGTTGTGTTCACTATTATTCTACAATGTAGAAAATAGTAAAAATAAAGAAAAACCCTTGAATGAGTAGGTGTGTCCAAACTTTTGACTGGTACTGTATATATATATATATATATATATTTTTACATTAACATATACATTTGGGCTTTGGATAAATAAAAACAATTCTCCCAAATGCTCTGTGTGACCACCTACCAATGTGGCTGGTAAGAATAGCCATTCTACCAGCCAATGCGAAAATCTACCTCACACACTCTCATTTAGTGCACAAATTCTCCATACAACTAACACAGACTACAAAAACATACTTATATTTTGATTTCACCTAATTAACATTCTGTCATAAAGAGCACATGTTCAGCTTCATAAAACTAACTGACTGTAAGTCTTTTTTGTTTCAAATTATTCCGAAAAATAAATAACGGAAAAGTGGTGCGTGCATATGTATTCACCCCCTTTGCGATGAAGCTCCTAAGTAAGATCTGGTGCAACCAATTACCTTCAGAAGTCACATAATTAGTTAAATAAAGTCCACCTGTGTGCAATCTAAGTGTCACATGATCTGTCACATGATCTTAGTATTTACACACATGTTCTGAAAGGCCCCAGAGTCTGCAACACCACTAAGCAAGGGGAACCACCAAGCAAGCGGCACCATGAAGACCAATGAGCTCTCCAAACAGGTCAGGGACAAAGTTGTGGAGAAGTACATATCAGGGTTGGGTTATAAAAAAACAGCCACGGAGCACCATTAAATCCATTATTAAAAAATGGAACGAATATGGCACCACAACAAACCTGCCAAGAGAGGGCCACCCACCAAAACTCATGAACCAGGCAGGAGGGCATTAATCAGAGAGGCAACAGAGACCAAAGATAACCCTGAAGGAGCTGCAAAGCTCCACAGCGGAGATTGGAGTATCTGTCCATAGGACCACTTTAAGCCGTACACTCCACAGAGCTGGGCTTTACGGAAGAGTAGCCAGATTAAAGCAATTGCTTAAAGAAAAAAATAAGCCAACAGATTTGGTGTTCGCCAAAAGGCATGTGGGAGACTCCCCAAACATATGGAAGAAGGTACTCTGGTCAGATGAGACTAAAATTGAGCTTTTTGGCCATCAAGGAAAACGCTATGTCTGGTGCAAACCCAACACCTCTCATCACCCCCAGAACACCATCCCCACAGTGAAACATGGTGGTGGCAGCATCATGCTGTGGAGATGTTTTTTATCAGCAGGGACTGGGAAACTGGTCAGAATTGAAGGAATGATGGATGGCGCTAAATTCTTGAGGGAAACCTGTTTCAGTCTTCCAGAGATTTGAGACTGGGACAGAGGTTCACCTTCCAGCAGGACAATCACCCTAAGCATACTGCTAAAGCAACATTTGAGTGGTTTAAGGGGAAACATTTAAATGTCTTGGAATGGCCTAGTCAAAGCCCAGACCTCAATCCAATTGAGAATCTGTGGTATAACTTAAAGATTGCTGTACACCAGCGGAACCAATCCAACTTGAAGGAGCTGGAGCAGTTTTGCCTTGAAGAATGGGCAAAAATCCCAGTGGCTAGATGTGCCAAGCTTATAGAGACATACCCCAAGAGACTTGCAGCTGTAATTGCTGCAAAAGGTGGCTCTACAAAGTATTGACTTTGGGGGGGGGTGAATAGTTATGCACGCTCAAGTTTTCTTTTTTTTGGTCTTATTTCTTTGTTTGTTTCACAAAAAAAAATATTTTGCATCTTCAAAGTGGTAGGCATGTTGTGTAAATCAAATGATACAAACCCCCCAAAAATCCATTTTAATTCCAGGTTGTAAGGCAACAAAATAGGAAAAATGCCAAGGGGGGTGAATACTTTCGCAAGCCACTGTAAGAAATATATATTTTCCCATCGTAAGAGGTTAAATAAACAAATTACTAAGTGCCAAATAAAGCAACAGGGTTGACAATTTTTTCTTAAATCAGCCATAAATCCCCTTGTGACATGGAGAATGGAAGCTTGTTGTGTGAAACACGGAGTGAAAACATTTTTAGCTTCTCTATCTACGGGTAAAAGGGTTGACGTGTTACTATATGCTTGACCCGCTCAGTTTTCCACCTCAAAACACCAGAAAGTTGCCAAAAAGAGTAGAACGAGCTCACCTGCTGTTACACTATGATTTCACTATTAGATGCTCAGATTTTTTTTTTTTTAAGGAATAGTTTCACCATATTAAAACGAGAGTTCAGTTCACGTAACAGCGTTGACCTTAAAGTAAGGGACAGATGTAAGTGATTCACTAATCACATTAAATAAATAATAATCTTCAGAAATGACTTTGTCAAAGCAACAAAATAGCTAGGGCTTTACAACGAAGGTGAAAACATTTTGGGTTTAAGTGGGTTAAAATCTTCCTAGAAGTCACAGATGGTGCATGGAGGGACTTGTCAAAATGCTGAATTTTTGCACGAGCAAGTCTTTTCATATAAAAAATTGGATTTATTGAATTTTCCTTGTGGTATATATTAAAGGGCAGTTCATTTAATATAACAGGCTTTTAAAATGTAATATTGGTGTACAATTTCTACTTGAAATATCAAAGGGACGCAAAAGGCACTCTTTTCATGGAACGACCCAGTTGCTGTAACAGCAAGAATAATACATCGTAGTATGAAACTAAATACTGTAATTGTTATGGTTTTGTCTTCCCCAGGCTCTAATGGTGTCCAGGTGACTACAACGGCAGCTCCAAACGCCTCTCAGAGTACCAGCCCAGTCTCCATATTCTTCCAGACTACTTCCAGCCCCCACCCAACAGCCACACCCTCTGGTGGTAAGCCTGCAGAACGCAAGCGTGAAGCCAGCCCCTTTGCCAGCAACCCTGAAGAAGCTCCCAAACCCAGGAAAATCTGCAGGCAACAGGCGTACTACAGTTCTGCCAGTGAGATGCCCTCAACAAGCATGGCATCCAGCTCCAGAGGTCTCCAAATGCCATTCCCTAACATGGCTCACCCTCACATGTATCCTCCATCTCCCATGCCACATCCAGCGGGCCTCTTCCCCACCCCTCGCTTTCCCTTTGCGCCACCCTACTTCATGCCTGGACCCAATTTTTATCCACCAGGGTGAGCAATGAATGCTCTTTCATCTTGAATACAAATTCAGTTCTACTTAGGTATGCTGTTTGATGTTTTATAATTGTGCAGGTTAGTGGTAAAAATGTAACTATGGTCATTTGAAACACCATCATCCTGGGATTGTTTTATTCTTTCAGATCATACCCTTACCCACACGGCCCATACTCTTACCCAGTTCTCCAACCCCAGGAATTCTCCAACCCCATGGTTACTCCCATGGTTACTCCGGGCTACCCCTATGATGACAACTACGATCAGCATGAGTCCACATTTTCCCTTCTCAACAGAGACTACCCGTTTCTGCAGAGTGGAGAGTGCGGGCAGAGATGTCAAGGTCAAGAGCAGGCCCCCACTGCCTCTGAGCTTCTAGGTTTGGTCCCACCACTGGACTTACGTGCCCTGGAGAACGTATTCACCAACTCTGCGCCAGATAACTCTGCCAGTGTCCAGGAGGTCCAAGTCACCAATGAGGAGGACGAGGAAGAAGTGCCTGTGATGAGAATTCTCTAGGATCAAACCAAAGTGACATCCTTTAGCAAAATCCCTGATAGACATCCTTTAGCAAAATCCCTGATAGACTATTTGTTGATTCAGTGAATCAAAACTTTGTGTTGTACATTAACTCCAAAAAAAGTTTATCTAAAAATAAATGAATTGTTACTGTTATTCTGAAATAATTTATTTTTAAAGATGAGTAGTTTTATGCGATCGATCTCTGCTCTGCTCAAAATGAAATGTCCAGTATTTTAAAGTGTTTGATAGGGCTTCTATTTATTTATGCCTTTTTGTTCTACAAATACCTGGTTTGTAAGGAGAAAAGGGTGCTTTGCTGGTTTTATGCAGACTGAGACTCCAGCTGATTTTTGTATAGAAATCCAATAAATTACCTCTGGCCAGACGTGACTATTTTGTCATCCAATCAGATTTTATTCATGACAGGGCTGTACTATTCACATACCGCCCCAACAGATCCACAGATGACGCAATCTCAATCGCACTCCACACTGCCCCACCTGGACAAAAGGAACACCTATGTGAGAATGCTGTTCATTGACTACAGCTCAGTGTTCAACATTATAGTGCCCACAAGGCTCATCACTAAGCTAAGGACCCTGGGACTAAACACCTCCTCTGCAACTGGATCTTGGACTTCCTGACGGGCCGCCCCCAGGTGGTAAGGGTAGGCAACAACACATCTGCCATGCTGATCCTCAACACGGGGGCCCCTCAGTTGTGCGTGTTTAGTCTCCTCCTGTACTCCCTGTTCACCCACGACTGCGTGGCCAAGCACGACTCCAACACCATCATTAAGTTTGCTTACGACACAACAGTGGTAGGTCTGATCACCGACAACGATGAGACAGCCTATAGGGAGGAGGTCAGAGACCTGGCAGTGTGGTGCCAGGACAACAACCTCTCCGTCAACGTGAGCAAGACAAAGGAGCTGATCGTGGACTACAGGAAAAGGAGGGACGTACACGACGGGGCTGTAGTGGAGTGGGTCGAGAGTTCCAAGGTCCTTGGTGTCCACATCACCAACAAACTATTATGGTCCAAACACACCAAGACAGTCGTGAAGAGGGCAAGACAACACCTTTCCCCCTCAGGAAACTGAAAAGATTTGGCATGGGTCCCCAGATCCTCAAAAAGTTCTACAGCTGCACCATCGAGAGCATCCTGACCGGTTGCATCACCTCCTGGTATGGCAACTGCTCTGCATCTGACCGTAAGGCACTACAGAGGGTAGTGCGTACAGCCCAGTACATCACTGGGACTAAGCTTCCTGCCATCCAGGACCTATATACTAGGCGGTGTCAGAGGAAGGCCCAAAAAATTGTCAAAGACTCCAATCACCCAAGTCATAGACTGTTCTCTCTGCTACCGCTTGCCGTGCGGTAGCAGAGAGAAATGCTCCTTAACAGCTCCTTAACAGCTTCTACCCCCAAGCCATAAGACTGCTGAACAATTAATAAAATGGCCACCCAGACTATTTACATTGACACCCTCCCTCCCTCCCCCCTCTTTGTTTTTACACTGCTGATACTCGCTGTTTATTATCTATGCACAGTCACTTTACCCCTACTTACATGTACAAATTACCTCGACTAACCTGTACCCCTGCAAATTGACTCGGCCCTGTGTAGTTCAGTTGGTAGAGCATGGCGCTTGCAACGCTAGGGTTGTGGGTTCGTTTCCCACGGGGGGCCAGTATGGAGAAAAAAAGGTATGCACTCACTAACTAAGTCGCTCTGGATAAGAGCGTCTGCTAAATGTCTAAAATGTACTGGTACCCCCTGTATATAGCCTCGGTATCGTTATTTTACTGTGTTACTTTTTATTTTTTACTTTAGTTTATTTAGTAAATATTTTCTTAACTCTATTTCTTGAACTGCATTGTTGGTTAAGGGCTTTTAAGTAAGCATTTCACAGTAAGGTCTAGACCTGTTGTATTCTGCGCATGTGACAAATACGATTTAATTTGATGATTGACAGGCCATTTGGCCAATGCGGTGTACAAGTCTATGTCAGGAGGCGTTTCCAGGAAGAATCGTTTAATTTCCCTGTAATGGCGGACCACGGAGACGGTGAAAGTATTGGGTTTAACGACAACAGGTGAGGCGATAGCGAATAAACCCAAGTGATTGATATTTGTGATAAATAATGTTTGCAACGGTTGTCAACTTGACATTAATGTGAAAGTGGCCTCCCAGTGATTTCTTACATGCGCTCGCGAGTGCATTCCGTGCAGCCGCTGACTGTTCAATGTGGCCACGCTAGTTAACGTAGTTGCTAACATTATAGCCTCGTAACGTTAGCTAGCTAGACACCCTCCTGACTCATCGTATATTTTGCTGAACTATGATGTTATGCGTCGAGTTAAGCAAACCAGTTAGAACATAAACTACCTAATAGCTAGTTAGATAGACACGGACGATTGTTTCTGAAATGGCTTGTTACCTACGCTAGTTAGCTGGGCGTTCAGACAGTGCGTCGATTTGAATGGCATAACATTAGCCAACGTTAGTTAGCTAGCCTAGAGTAGCTACATTAGCTAACTAGCCAGCGTACACATTCACTAGTTAGTGTTCCTTGGCGGATTGGCAATTTATGTAGCTAGCCAGTGAAACTGGCAAATGTAGCTACAATCATCAAGCGATTGATAGTTAGCTAGACCGCGCAATATAAGTAATAGGCTAGCTACTATAATTAGCTAACGTGATAACATGAATTATGATTTTGAGATACTAGCCTGTTGCAGCAAACAATAACCTGAACGAGTAGAATAGCTAGCGAGTAAAATATACTAGATGTGTAGATTTTGATTTGGTTCATGAGGCAGGTCCATTTGGGTTGTTTCTAGGATGACGCAGCAGCAGACGTTGCGTTTCCGCGGCCCTGCTCCTCCTCCAACCCCAGTGATGCGTGGTCCACCCCCACTTCTCAGACCCCCGCCTCCCCCTTTCGGTATGATGAGAGGGCCCCCGCCACGGGGGCCACCATTTGGGCGCCCACCATTTGACCCTAGCATGCCACCCATACCCCCACCAGGAGGCATGCCCCCGCAGCTCGGACCCCCTCACCTACAGGTACTCCTGCCAGTGATGCAAGGATATTTTTAAAAACATTTAGCCCATCTATTCTATAGTATGAAAGCATTGAGAGCCAGAACATCAGAGACTGCACAGTTTGTATAAAATGCTTGAAATTTAAATGTTTTTCAGAGACCTCCTTTCATGCCCCCTCCGATGGGCGGCATGCCCCCACCCCCAGGGATGCTATTCCCCCCTGGAATGCCCCCAGTACCAGGAGCTGGAGCTCCTACTCTGCCCCCTGCTGATGAGATCTGGGTGGAGAACAAGACACCGGAGGGAAAGGTAAAGAATGGCCTTTTACATTGTTCTCTAATATTTCAACCTACCGGAATGAATATTTTCCTGCGTTTCCCTCATAAGTTATAGATAGGTGGTTGTTTAGCAACAAAACTGAGGCGTGCGAAACACACTGGGTTGGCTTAGATTGTTGACGTGTAAACTATATTTCTTCTCCAATGTTTATTGAAAACATAAATAGATTTTCATAATGGGCATTTAGTCTCTCAAATAATTGTTAGTGTTTATTAGCTAACTAGCGATTTTTTTGCCATATTAGCGTAGACATGACATCAGACAAAATCAAATCAAATGTCATTTGTCACATGCGCCGAATACAACCGGTGTAGACCTTACTGTGAAATGCTTACTTGCAAGCCCTTAACCAACAATGCAGTTTTAAGTAAATAAAGTAAAAAATAATAAAAAGTAACACAATAAAATAACAAATGAGGCTATATACAGGGGGTACCGAGTCAATGTGCGGGGGTACAGGTTAGTTGAGGTAATTTGTACACGTAGGTAGGGGTAAAGTGCCTATGCATAGATAAACAGCAAGTAGCATTAGTGTAAAAAGGGGGGGGGGGGGGGGTCAATGCAAATAGTCCAGGTGGCCATTTCATTAATTGTTCAGCAGTCTTATGGCTTGGGGGTAGAAGCTGTTAAGGAGCCTTTTGGACCTAGACTTGGCGCTCCGGTACCGCTTGCCTTGCGGTAGCAGAGAGAACAGTCTATGACTTGGGTGACTGGAGTTTGTTACACATTTTTGGGCCTTCCTCTGACGGCACCTAGTATATAGGTCCTGGATGGCAGGAAGCTTGGCCCAAGTGATTTACTGGGCAGTACACAATACCTTCTGTAGCACCTTACGGTCGGATGCTGAGCAGTTGCCATACCAGGCGGTGATGCAACCGGTCAGGATGCTCTCGATGGTGCAGTTGTAGAACTTTTTGAGGATCTGGGGACCCATGCCAAATCTTTTCAGTCTCCTGAGGGGGAAAAGGCGTTGTCGTGCCCTCTTCACGACTTTCTTGGTGTGTTTGGACCGTGATTGTTTGTTGGTGATGTGGACAGCAAGGAACTTGAAATTCTCGACCCACTCCATGGGGGTGTGTTCAGCCCTCCTTTTCCTGTAGTCCACGATCATCTCCTTTGTCTTGCTCACGTTGAGGGAGAGGTTGTTGTCCTGGCACCACACTGCCAGGTCTCTGACCTCTTCCCTATAGGCTGTCTCATCGTTGTCGGTGATCAGTCCTACCAGGGCAGTGTGGAGTGCGATTGAGATTGCGTCATCTGTTGGGGCGGTATGCAAATTGGAGTGGGTCTAGGGTTTCCGGGAGTTACACCTGGCGCCGACGAAGATGGCGGCCTCGCAACTAGCTCTTAGGAAACTTTGCGTAATTTTTTTTTTTTTTTTTTTTTTTTTACATTACATACAGCCGGGAAAAACTATTGTATATCAGAGCGGCGGTAACTCACCAGAACTACCAGCATTACGACCAGGAATACGACTTTCCCGAAGCAGATCCTTTGTTTGCTCTCCCCAGGGCAATTGAACTGATTCCAGCGGCTGACCCAAAACATCGCCGGCGGAGGAGAGGCACTCGGAGCGGCCTGCTGGTTCGACTTAGGAGGCGCGCACACCACCCACCGCTTCCAAGTATATTACTCGCTAATGTTCAGTCTTTGAATAACAAAGTCGACGAGCTCAGGGCAAGGATTTATTTCCAGAGAGACATCAGGGCCTGTAACATACTTTGTTTCACGGAAACATGGCTCTCTCGTGATATTCTGTCAAAATCGGTCCAGCCAGATGGGTTCTCAGTCCATTGCGCAGACAGAAATAAATATCTCTCCGGGAAGCAGAAGGGCGGAGGTGTGTGTTTCATGATTAACGACTCATGGTGTAATTGTAGTAACATACAGGAACTCAAGTCCTTTTGTTCACCCGACCTAGAATACCTCACAAGCAAATGCCGACCGTATTATCTCCCAAGAGAATTTTCATCGGTTATAGTCACGGCCGTGTATATTCCCCCCCAAGCCGATACCACGACGGCCCTCAAAGAACTTCACTGGACTTTATGCAAACTGGAAACCACATATCCTGAGGCTGCAATTATTGTAGGTGGGGATTTTAACAAAGCAAATTAGAGGACTAGGCTGCCGAAGTTCTATCGACTGTTGTACTCGGGCTGCTAAAATTCTCGAACATTGCTATTTGAACTTCCGGGATACTTATTAGGCCCTCCCCCGCCCTCCTTTCGGCAAATCTGACCACGACTCCATTTTGCTCCTCCCTTCCTATAGGCAGAAACACAAAAAATAAGTAAACGTGCTAAGGACTATTCAACGCTGGTCTGACCAATCGGAATCCACGCTTCAAGATTGTTTTGATCACGCAATTTGGGATACAGTGAGGGGAAAAAAGTATTTGATCCCCTGCTGATTTTGTACGTTTGCCCACTGACAAAGAAATGATCAGTCTAATTTTAATGGTAGGTTTATTTGAACGGTGAGAGACAGAACAACAACAACAAAATCCAGAAAAACGCATGTCAAAAATGTTAGAAATTGATTTGCATTTTAATGAGGGAAATAAGTATTTGACCCCTCTGGAAAACATGACTTAGTACTTGGTGGCAAAACCCTTGTTGGCAATCAGAGGTCAGACGTTTCTTGTAGTTGGCCACCAGGTTTGCACACATCTCATGAGGGATTTTGTACCACTCCTCTTTGCAGATCTTCTCCAAGTCATTAAGGTTTCGAGCCTGACGTTTTGCAACTCGAACCTTCAGCTCCCTCCACAGATTTTCTATGGGATTAAGGTCTGGAGACTGGCTAGGCCACTCCAAGACCTTAATGTGCTTCTTCTTGAGCCACTCCTTTGTTGCCTTGGCCGTGTGTTTTGGGTCATTGTCATGCTGGAATACCCATCCACAACCCATTTTCAATGCCCTGGCTGAGGGAAGGAGGTTCTCACCCAAGATTTGACGGTACATGGCCCCGTCAATCGTCCCTTTGATGCGGTGAAGTTGTCCTGTCCCCTTAGCAGAAAAACACCCCCAAAGCATAATGTTTCCACCTCCATGTTTGACAGTGGGGATGGTGTTCTTGGGGTCTCCTCTGAATCATTCAGATGTTCATTGGCGAACTTCAGACGGTCCTGTATATGTGCTTTCTTGAGCAGGGGGACCTTGCGGGCGCTGCAGGATTTCAGTCCTTCACGGCGTAGTGTTACCAATTGTTTTCTTGGTGACTATGGTCCCAGCTGCCTTGAGATCATTGACAAGATCCTCCCGTGTAGTTTTGGGCTGATTCCTCACCGTTCTCATGATCATTGCAACTCCACGAGGTGAGATCTTGCATGGAGCCCCAGGCCGAGGGAGATTGACAGGTCTTTTGTGTTTCTTCCATTTGCGAATAATCGCACCAACTGTTGTCACCTTCTCACCAAGCTGCTTGGCGATGGTCTTGTAACCCATTCCAGCCTTGTGTAGGTCTACAATCTTGTCCCTGACATCCTTGGAGAGCTCTTTGGTCTTGGCCATGTTGGAGAGTTTGGAATCTGATTGATTGATTGCTTCTGTGGACAGGTGTCTTTTATACAGGTAACAAGCTGAGATTAGGAGCACTCCCTTTAAGAGTGTGCTCCTAATCTCAGCTCGTTACCTGTATAAAAGACACCTGGGAGCCAGAAATCTTTCTGATTGAGAGTTGGTCAAATACTTATTTCCCTCATTAAAATGCAAATCAATTTATAACATTTTTGACATTAGTTTTTTTCTGGATTTTTTTGTTGTTATTCTGTCTCTCACTGTTCAAATAAATCTACCATTAAAATTATAGACTGATCATTTCTTTGTCAGTGGGCAAACGTACAAAATCAGCAGGGGATCAAATACTTTTTTCCCTCACTGTATGTTCCCGGGTAGCTTGCGAAAATAATTTAGACAAATACACTGAAACGGTGACTGAGTTTATCAGGAAGTGTATAGGAGATGTTGTGCCCACTGTGACTATTAAAACCTACCCTATCCAGAAACCGTGGATAGATGGCAGCATTCGCGCAAAACTGAAATGGGAACTGGGAATATGGCAGAATACAAACAGTGTAGCTATTCACTCCGCAAGGCAATTAAACAGGCAAAACATCAGTATAGAGACAAAGTGGAGTCGCAATTCAACGGCTCCGACACGAGACCTATGTGGCAGGGTCTACAGACAATCACTGACTACAAAAGGAAAACCAGCCACGTTTGGAGGAAAAGGGGGGAATGCTTGCAAGACGAAGAACACCATCCCAACCGTGAAGCACGGGGGTGGCATCATCATGCTGTGGGGGTGCTTTGCTGCAGGAGGGACTGGTGCACTTCACAAAATAGATGGCATCATGAGGAAGGAAAATTATGTGGATATATTGAAGCAACATCTCAGTCAGGAAGTTAAAGCTTGGTCGCAAATGGGTCTTCCAAATGGACGATGACCCCAAGCATACTTCCAAAGTTGTGGCAAAATGGCATAAGGACAACAAAGTCAAGGTATTGGAGTGGCCATCACAAAGCCCTGACCTCAATCCTATAGAACATTTGTGGGCAGAACTGAAAAAGTGTGTGCGAGCAAGGAAGCCTACAAACCTGACTCAGTTACACTAGCTCTGTCAGGAGGAATGGGCTAAAATTCAACCAACTTATTGTGGGAAGCTTGTGGAAGGCTACCCAAAACGTTTGACCCAAGTTAAACAATTTAAAGGCAACGCTACCAAATACTAATTGAGTGTATGTAAACTTCTGACCCATTGGGAATGTGATGAAAGAAATAAAAGCTGAAATAAATCATTCTCTCTACTATTATTCTGACATTTCACATTCTTAAAATAAAGTGGTGATCCTAACTGACCTAAGACAGGGAATTTTTACTAGGATTAAATGTCAGGAATTGTGAAAAACTGAGTTTAAATGTATTTAGCTAAGGTGTATGTAAACTTCCCACTTACATTTACATTTTAGTCATTTAGCAGACGCTCTTATCCAGAGCGACTTAGTTAGTGAGTGCATACATTTTCATACTGGCCCCCCGTGGGAAACGATCCCACAACCCTGGCGTTGCAAGCGCCATGCTCTACCAACTGAGCTACACGGGGCCTTCAACAGTATATTCTTATTCCATTCCTTTACTTAGATTTGTGTGTATTAGGTTTTTGTTGTAGAACTGTTAGATATTACTTGCTAGATATGGCTGCACTGTCGGGACTAGAAGCACAAGCATTTTGCTACACTCACAATAACATCTGCTAACCATGTGTATGTGACAAATACATTTGATTTGTATCAAGAACAAGATACAACTAGCTGAAACAAGCTACCTAAGATTCCCCACATGGCAGCTTCTTGTCATTGTTGCCAGCTATCTGGCCATCCCAGAATCCCAACACCGCACAGACTTCTGCTCCATTGAAGCGTGCACATCGTTTTCGTGACATTTTTACATTGTTTTTTTTTTGACGTTGTAAGCTAACCCGTCTATGTCCTCCTACCCTTCCCCCTAGGCGTACTACTACAATGCCAGGACTCGAGAGTCAGCCTGGAGCAAACCTGAGGGGGTGAAGGTGATCCAGCAGTCAGAGCTCAACCCTGTTATGGTGACCCCGGCTGGAACAGGAGCCTCCTCCAGTAGCATCACAGCTGCCAGCACTGCAGCTGCCATACCCTCCCCAGTGTCCACACAGGCCCCCTCCCCATCCAGCACCATGACCACAAGCCCAGTCTCCAACACCACCACCACCGTGTCCCAGACCGTTGCTAGTGAGTACATAAATGGTAGAGGGACATCTGGATCCCATCAAAAAGCATTTGGCTTTAGACGGGTCTGACCTGATTTGGTGAAGTTCACAAAGTTGGTAATGGGTTGTTTTCTGCTTGCCTATGGTTAGTTTTACTATATGACCAGACTGTGTGTTGTAACTCTCTGCTGGTCTTTGTCCAGCTTCTGCTGCTACAGATCTGCAGCCTGTGGACTCCGTCCCCTCCAGTGTTGCAGTGACCATCAGTGTAGCCACCGTGCCAGCCTCGGTGACACCAGTCCAGACCATGTCCCTGCTGCCCCAGAGTCTCCCGACTGGCATGTCCCACCACGCCATGTCCCAGCCTCACACGGCCACTATCCCAGGCTTCCCCCCAGGGGTCATGCACCCCTTCAGAGTGCCTCTACCAGGCATGCACATCCCACTGCCCGGTAAGACATGATAAGCTAACTCCTCATCCCAACCCCCCCCCCCCCCCCCCCCCCTAACCCTTTTTAACATTACTGCCTCTCCACCTGTTTCCATACTTTGTCATGTGTCATCTCTTCATTTCTTTGTCATCTTAATTTTAGGTCTCTTATTTTAATCTCCCGTAAAAGTGATAGGTTAAAACAATTATTGTAGAGGTAGAATGGTCTTGGTCTTGGTCAAGGCTGGAGTGATAATTAGGCATATCAATTCAACTTGTGTTTCTACTTTGTTTTTTATTATTCTTGAAATGTTTCCTCTGGCACTTAAAATTAGGGCCAAATTCGAGCTGGTTCGAATGGAATTCTCAAATTCAAGCTGGGTCGAGGGAAACCCGGGCCAGTGCAGCCCAGTTTCACAACTGGTGCCAGCTCGATTAGAATTTGGGCTGGTAATGCCCTTACTATGCAACCACCAAGCTGATTACTGCTGAATGCTGACACAACATTTAGCTGGCTTGTCTGGGCTCGTTGCTCTTAGCTAGCACATAGACAAGCATTACTGCAGTAGACAGACATGACACAAATTCCACCATAGCTGGATCCTTCATTCATTTTTGCTCTACGCAAACTTTTGAGAACAGTCAGCCCTCAAATGCTAGCTACCTAACGTTAGCTAGTAAATCCGAGTTGAAACAAGCAAGCAACTAGCTAACATGCACTAGCAGCAATTTTAGCTGGCCAGGTTGTATTGAAAGCTAGCTAGCTACATCATATCAAACATGTCTGGTTTGTTTGGTTAGCTAGCTAGCAAATAGTCAACGCCAGGGTAGTGGGTTCGATCCCCAGGACCACCCATACTAGCCGGCCGCGACCGGGAGACTCATGGGGCGGCGCACAATTGGCCCAGCGTCGTCGAGGGTAGGGGAGGGAATGGCCAGCAGGGATGTAGCTCAGTTGGTAGAGCATGGCGTTTGCAACGCCAGGGTTGTGGGTTCGATTCCCACGGGGGGCCAGTAATAATGTATGCACTCACTAACTTTCGCTTTGGATAAAAATTGTCTGCTAAATGGCTTATTATTATGGCAAGCAAGGTAGGAATTAAGCTAGCTAGCCTGTTATGCTAGCGACGACGCTAACCGTTTAGCTTGCTAACGTAAGCAAGCTAAATAAATGGCTGGCACTGGCAGGAGTATGGGGTAACGTTAGTTACAGCACGGTGAGGGGGGAATTAAATTATTCTAACATCTTGCTAGCTAGCTAGCTAGCAACATTGGCAATGCCAGTTGCAGTCACATATTGGCTACCTAACAACATGACATCATTTTACACTGAACAAAAATATAAACGCAATATGTTAAGTGTTGGTCCCATTTATCATTAGCTGAAATAAAATATCCCAGAAATGTTCCATATGCACAAAAGGCTTTTTCGCTCAAATTTTGTGCACAAATTGGTTTACATCCCTGTTAGTGAGCATTTATCCTCTGCCAAGATAATCATCCACCTGACAGGTGAAGCTGATTAAACAGCATGATCATTACACAGGTGCACCTTGTGCTGGGTACAATAACAGTTCACTAAAATGTGCAAGTTTGTCACACAACACAATGCCACAGATGTGTCAAGTTGAGGGAGTGTGCAATTGTCATGCTGACTGCAGGAATGTCCACTAGAGCTGTTGCCAGATAATTGAATGTTAATTTCTCTACCATAAGCCGCCTCCAATGTTGTTTTAGAGAATTTGGCAGTACCTCCAACCAGCTTCACAACCGCAGACCACGTACGTGTATGGTGTCATGTGGGCGAGCGTTTTGCTTATGTCAACGTTTTCAACAGAGTGCCACATGGTGGCGGTTGGGTTATGTAATGGGAAGGCATAAGCTACGGACAACGAACACAATTGCATTTTATCTATGGCAATTTGAATGCACATAGATACCGGGACAAGATCCTGAGGCCCATTGTCGTGCCATTCATCCGCTGCCATCACCTCATGTTTCAGCATGATAACGCACGGCCTCATGTCGCAAGGATCTGTACAAAATTCCTGGAAGTTGAAAATGTCCCAGTTCTTCCATGGCCTGCATACTCACCAGACATGTCACCCATTTAGCATGTTTGGGATGCTCTGGTTTGACGTGTACAACAGCGTGTTCCAGTTCCCGCCAATATCCAGCAACTTCACACAGCTATTGAAGAGGAGTGGGACAACATTCCACAGGCCACAATCAACAGCCTGATCAACTCTATGCGAAGGAGATGTCACGCTGCGTGAGGCAAATGGTGGTCACACCAGATACTGACTTGTTTTCTGATCCACACCCCTACCTTTTCTTTAAGGTATCTATGACCAACAGATGCATATCTGTATTCCCAGTCATGTGAAATCCATAGATTAGGGCCTAATTAATTGATTTCAACTGACTGATGTCCTTTATATGAACTGTCATTCTGTAAAATATTTGAAATTGTTGCAGGTTGCGTTTTATGTTTTTGTTCAGTTAGTTTTTTCTTGCACTGTAATTATTGCAGAAACAAGTCACTTGCAGTCCTGTAGATGGCAGCATTGCTCAAGTTCAGAAAAGGGTCATGTAGGCATCTGGAGAACAAATGCAGCAGCAAATTCAAAGGCTTTTGACACACTGTCTTATAAGGAAAGAGGCCGTTCATTTTAGACGACTCACTCTTCATTCTTAAATTAATTTAAATATAAAAATGTTAACAACATTTTTAGTTCAATCCTCTGCCCATCTACATGACCAAATTAGCACGTTATTCATCCATCTGGTTGTTGCCAGGAAGATAATACTAATGTGGTTTTATCAAAGTCATATAATGGTTGTGGGCCTAGTTTTTAAATGTATTGTGTCAATAGTTGTCTGCCTTGCCATGGCACCTGGCACCTCTTCTCCTGTGTCCCAACAACATGCTTGCTTGCTTGTCCGTTCTTGCAGGTGTAGCAATGATGCAGATAGTAGGCGCTCCCTATATAAAGACAGTCTCCCCCAACAATAACGGTAATTCTTTCAAACGTCTCCAGTCAGTATTCTGTTAGATGGCATGTTAGTGATGTGTTGTGAAAATGATGCTTATTATTTTTTTACCACTTAGGCACTGCCAAACAATGTGAAGTATTGCTGTCGTATCTTTTTCCTTCATATTTCTTCAACATTAGTGAGTTAGACGTTTTAGGACTTTCTGTCTTGTTTAAACTATAAAGTTCTGATGCTTTTTTCGAGGAGATTACGGACAGAGACATCTCTGCCCTTGTAATTGTGATAAACAACCAATTGATATTTGGCATCAGTGTGAAGTCTTGTTGGACATAACTGCATTGTAGACTTGCATCAGTAATGTCGCTGTTATACTGTTGGTTTTAGCTAGACTACTTTAGCAGGTTAAAATGTTTCTAAGATCAGAGTTGTAATTTATTTTGTAAACCGTGACAAAGGAGTATTGGACCTTGTTTTAACAAGCAGCGCACTTCTTTTTGGTGAAGTTATTTTCCATTCAGTAGATGAAATTCACGTTAATGTATGGTCATTTGATAATCATTTTCTTCTTGTGGCATGCCTTTTGTGTATTTTTGTTAACATCTCAGTGGCTCAGTTTAGATGTTACCTGTGTGACTAACCAGGGAAGGTCCTTTCTTTACACTTTGAGAATTAGGTGTAATTGTTTGACCTAAGACCTTTTTTATATTTCAGGTGAATTCTTATGGACTCTATCCATCCTCAATATATTTTAAGAATAAGAGACACAAGCACTAGCAATGATGTCATCAACACTGCCTCTTTTCAGCTAACCCTCCCGTGCTGTATGTTTGGCGTTATCAGAGCGGAATGTCTTTAGAAGTATTCTGTGTGTATTTCACCTTCTACAGGTATGCTGCCCGGCATGGCCCCTCCCCTTGTTCCCATGATGCACCACCCTCAGTTGGCCCTGGCGGCGCCCGCCTTAGCAGGCCTCCAGCTCCCAGAGTGGTCCGAGTACAAAACGGCCGATGGGAAAACGTACTACTACAACAACCGCACACTGGAGTCCACCTGGGATAAGCCCCACGAACTACGGGAGAAAGGTTGGCTATTTAAAGCTTGGGTCTCTCCAACCAGCTATCATTCTTCCTGGACTGGTTAGTGATATTTAAATGTTGCATATCTGTGTGTGAGATGTTGCATGTCTAATGTGTGTGAGTTTCCCCTCCTGTAGAGAGAGCGGCAGAGAAGGCCAAAGAGAGGCAGCAAGCCCTGGAGGAGGAGGCCATGGAGCTGGAGGACGAGGAGCCCAAAATAGAACCCCCTAATGAGGGAAAAGAGGTAAGAGGAGAGCTGAAGCGGTCTAGAAGTCAGAAAGGTGGCAGCAAACAATGAAAAGCCCTTTTTACATCCACAGCATTTCCATAGCCTTACATTTTATAATTTGAGAAGGTGGATAATTTTGAAGAATACAGCTTAACAGTTGTTTTCCTTTCATTGAGGAGGTTAAGGAGGAGGAGATGACTGAAGAGGAGAAAACAGCACAGAAAGCCAAGCCAGTGGCCACTAACCCTATCCCTGGCACTCCCTGGTATGTACCCACTGATGGTGATTGAGCTATGTGCTGTTGTATGAGGCTGAACTTTCATCACTCTCCTGCCCTGGTGCCCTATTGAACGTGTGTGTGTGTGTGTGTGTGTATAGGTGTATTGTGTGGACCGGTGACGAGCGTGTTTTCTACTACAACCCCACCACGCGTCTCTCCATGTGGGACCGGCCAGATGAGCTGGTGGGGCGGGCCGACGTTGACAAGAATATCCAGGAACCACCTCACAAGAGAGGCCTGGAGGACGCCACCAGGAAGCTGGGTACAAACACACACACCCCACATTTTGTTGCTGGTCTTACTGCATTCATTTTAGGAGAAGGTGGGATTCAACTTTATATTCAAGTATATACAGTTTACCCAATAGCAGTTTTACATTTTTACATGAGGTTGGTAAAATTGGTAATCCATTTTACGAGCTGAACGGCACAGTCGGGAGGGGAAGTTTAATTTTCAAAAGTTCCAAGCGGTCAATAATTTATTTTTTTGAGACAGGGGTTTCACCAAAGCTGTGTTGTATTCATTAGGTACAATGGGGTCCGAAATGATTGACACCCTTGATAAAGATGAGCAAAAATGACTGGTGTAAAATAAATCATATACTGAGCTATATTGTATGCTCAAAAAATTGTGAAATTATTTTATGCTAAAACAATTGCTCAGAGAAAGAAAAAATTAAAGATCTCAACATATGGATCAAAATTGACAGCCCTGTTTTCAATACCTTTCAAATCATCAGCTTGCGAGGATAACGACCCTGAGGCTTTTTCTAAAATGAGAACACATTGGGAGGGAACTTTGACCTTCATCCATACCGAATCCTTGATATCCTTTGTCTGCGCTTATGGACTGCCCTGTTTAATTCAAACCACAGGTTTTTAATGGGTTTGAAGTCTTTAGACATTGCAAAATGTTGATTTTGTGGCCAATTAACCATTTCTTTGTGGATTTTGATGTGTGCTTAGGGATATTGTCTTGCTGGAAGATACACCTGCGGCCAAGGCAACCAGATTTCCTCCTAAAATATCCTGGTACTGGATAAAGTTAATGATGCCGTTGACCTTAAAGGAGGCTGTAGTTTTTTTTTACAACCAAATCTCTATTTTTGTAAATGGCATGTTATAGAAGGGTCCAAACACTTATTTTGCAATTTCACTTGTTTTTGAGAAACATACCCCAACCAGCGAGTCACTTCCTCATCCTCGTTGTGTAGTACGGGGGGGCTCTGAAAAAACGTGACAAATGCTCCAGAAACACCAAAATACGTCCTTTTAGAAACGGAAAAGCTCTCAGTATAGTGATTCAGCTCTTTAGATGTTGTACACATTATATTGTCATTAAACTTTATCTGCAAGGTTATATTCCATTTTGTGTGACTCAAGCGGTTTTCACTCTCCAGCTTGTTCCATTCTATGTGTAGCCTGCTTCTAGAATGGACGGAGAGGTGTCGCTCGAGATGCAACTCAATGGAATATAGCGTTGTGGATAAGGTTTGGAATGACACAATTTCAAATGTACAACATCTAAAGACCTGCATCCCTATACTGAGAGCTTTTCGGTTTCTAGAAGGAAATATTTGGAGTATTTTTTTCATGTTGTTCATTTTTAGAATAAGGCTGTAACGTAACAAAATGTGGAAAAAAAGTCAAGGGCTCTGAATACTTTCCGAATGCACAGAGAGAGATCAGTGTGTGTGTGGAGTCGGTGCAAGCGAGGGTCAATGCAGGTAGCCTTATGGCTTGGGGTTAGAAGCTGTTCAGGGTCCTGTTTAGCAAACTTCCGGCATTTACATTTGTTGAATTACATGAAAATTGAGCTCTTTGGCCATGAACACCAGAGGGGGGATTGGTGTCAAAATGAGAGAATGCATGACCAGAAAAGAAGCCCATACCTACTATAAAATATGGTGCTGGATCTTTGATGTTATGGGGGTATTTTGCTTCCACTGGTCCTGGGGCCCTTTTTTTAAGGGCTACTGCATCATGAACGTTACCCTGTACCAGGATATTTTATCCAAAAACCTGATTGCCTCTGCCAGGAGGCTGAAACTTGGCCGCAAGTGGTTCTTTCAGCAAGACATTAACCCCAAGCACACATGGAATTCCACAAAGAAATGGTTAATTGTCCCAAAAAATCTGAATTCATCTCAGTCTCTGGAAACCCATTGAAAACCTGTGGTTTGAAATGACGAGGGCAGTCCATAAGCGCAGATCAAGGATGTGGAAGGATTCTGTATGGAGGAATGGTCTAAGATCCCTCCCAATGTCTTCTCCCACTCATAAAACATTTTAGAAAAGTACTTAGTGCCGTTATCCTCACAAGGTGAGGTATTGAAAACAGTGGTGTCAGTAATGTTTTTCCACTACCTTTTTGAGAGGAGAAAATTATTACTTTTGAAACAAAATCTCTCTCTGAGCAATTGTATTAACATAAAATAATTTCCAAAAACTATTTAGTATACAATATAGCTCAGTATTTGAATGTATTTTATGCAGTCATTTTTACCCATCTGTATCAACAGTGTCAATCATTTCAGACCACACTGTATGTCCTAGCTAATTTAACAAGATGCATTACAAGCTCAAAACATTTTTCAACAAAAATGACAATTATGACAATAGCCGTGGCCATTCTCATGACAATTACTCATTACCCAAGATTCCATAACCTTCACAGCCCTTCTCATCATGCCTCTGTAGGTTTTCATGAGGTTTGCCTCATTTATAATGTTACCATCACTTATCGCTCCCTCAGGAATCAGCAAAGAGGAGCTGGAGGCGGCAGCAGAGGAAGCTCTGGAGGATGAGCCTGTGAAGGCCAAGAAGAGGAAGTAAGTCCCCAGTCCTCTCCACCCAAGGGCCCAACACGGGCCAATAGAGGCATGAGGAGGCACTCAGTCATTCTTCCTCTTGTCTGAACAGATAAAACAGCATGTACAAATAAACCCATGATGTACTCTGGCTAAAAATCTAAATTGTTAGTTTAAGGTTACGTTTTTTTGGTCATCAAACCCTAAATTGCTTTAGTTGGATCTGTTCCTGTGGGGGTGGAGGGACTTGACTCTTTTGGTGGGAAGTAGTCTTTGACCCAGCTTGCACTGACTTAGTAAAGTCTGATTTATGTCTTCACTGGGTCTGTTAAAGTGGTGAATCAATCAATCACTGTCCAGGTTACCCAATCAGTCACTGTTTCCCATCAGTGCCCTCCAAGCCTGCCTCTCCCTGCTACCCCAAACACTGGTCCTGTTGCACAGGAGACTATTGTTCAGGGAAAAGGCCTGTAGAACACATGGTGATGCCAACATGGGCCTCCAAGGTAACCACCTTGCTTCTAAAACTACTGCTTTAGGATCCCAAATGAAACAGCAAATTAAGAAATTCACCTCACTGCCCCGTCCCGCCCTAGCTTTATGTGATTGTGGAACGGAATTCAAATCCATGACAATGAATATCAGTGGTCAGTTATTTGACAAATCCTACCCCTCCCAACCTAATAGGACCTACGCAAAGCCTACCATATATAATTTGGAGTCCACTCATTTGTTAGAGATGGCCAATAATCGAACAGTCAAGTATAGTGCACCTCTCCACTATTTCTTCAAGTCAAACCACCTGGATAGCGATAACGGAGCAGAACATATCCTTTCCCTATTTTAAAGAACTCAAGTTGCACCCCAGTCCCCTAACCTCCCCATCTATCATCAAATCAAATGTATTTATAAAGCCCTTTTTACATCAGCAGATGTCACAAAGTGCTTATAGCTCTCCCCTGTCCCCGTGTGCCTGGTCCCCTGACGCGTTCCCTCTGCTTGCAGGAAGGAGGAAGTGATGAAAGAGGCGGACTCTGAGAAAGAGGCAGCCATGGAGGCGGAGCTGAAGGCTGCCCGAGAGCGGGCCATCGTGCCCCTGGAGAACCGCATGACACAGTTCAGGGACATGCTGCTGAAGAGAGGGGTAAAACACTTCAATCCAACGCAATACTGTAACCAGCTCTGTAATGTTAGACACATTAATCTGAATGGAAGCCCACCAAGGTACACTCTTCAGTTAATTCTCCTTGTCTTTGGTGCACTGTTGTATTCCTGTTCCTCTCCCTCCTGCCTCTATCTCTGTCCTCTCTCTTATGCTCAGTTGAATGACAAATACTTTTCTGCTTATGTTTTGCTTTGGTAATACAAAAAAAGAATAATAATGAAAAAAAAAAAAAGTTAGGTTTAAAATGTTATACACATCTATAATGGTCTGATTTTAATTGTAATGATAGGCTATGGATTTAACATTTCACTATTCTATGTAGGGAAGAAATTGTCTAATCTATTAATTGTACATAACGGTGCCAGTTTCATATTTTTCTTTTTTTACGAAATGACTCATGCCATATGCTGTGTTTTTAACTCTAGCTTTTAATAGAATTCAGCTGTTAGGTTTGTCCAATACATCCATCAGATCCATGTTTGTCTACAGACCTGCACTGCCAATGACAGTCGTAATGTTCCTTGTTTACAAACTGGCATGCAGAGTAGATAATAGCCTGTTTTCATATTATAGTCTCTAATCTGGGATCAGCTTTCTTGTCTTCACCTTCTGTTTATGTATTATATGAACTATGTATCAACTTTTCTATCCTATATGACTAAACAGATGTGTTCAGCTTCTGTTCTGCCCCAACAGAGGCTTATTGTAACTGACTCATGCAAAGCAGCGATAAAAAAAAAAATAAAAAAAAGAATTGGATTGTAAAGCAAATTAAACTACCCTAGCAGGGGATTTATTGGCGCTGCCTAACTGGTCTCTGGAGCCTTTTCCATGGGCACCACCAGGCATGATGCAGACCTTTATTGCCTTACTCTGCTCATATTGCATTGTTCCTTTGGGTGCCAGTAGTTTGAGGAGTAAAACTTGACTCATTCCGCCCCTTTTTAGATTTAATGGGGGTCGACCAAAGGATTATAAGTTGACTGATGACATGAAATTGTTATGTGGATGTTGTTGAAGCCCACCTTGATTGGCCTGGTCTCATGCCCTCTTTAACCCCGTGCCCACAGGTCTCGGCATTCTCTACCTGGGAGAAAGAGCTGCACAAGATTGTTTTTGACCCGCGATATCTGCTGCTCAATCCCAAAGAGAGAAAGCAGGTATTGTACACTTACAGAATGAATGAATCAATTAATCTATACATTAATCAAGTTCTTAAAGTATAATTATTATATTTTTTGTGCCATATTCTGTGTTATTATGGTAATATGAGCTATGTTTCACTTTGGGGGGGAAAGGTCAGAGCCCTGATAACAGGTAAGGTATGAATTTCCCAAGGGGTTACCTGCCACGCCTGTCTTCATTTAGGCTGACTATTGTTCCATGTGTCTGCTGGCCTTGTGCAGGTGTTTGACCAGTATGTGAAGACCCGGGCTGAGGAGGAGAGGAAGGAGAAGAAGAACAAGCTGATGCAGTCTAAGGACGAGTTCAGGAAGATGATGGAGGATGCTAAGCTCACTGCCAGGTCAGACCTCACTAAAAACAACACCCATTAGTTCAAACATCGACTTGGTGTATACCCGGCAGTTGATTAGTGCATACATTGTCTTGGTATACCAGGCAGTTGATTAGTGCATACATTGTCTTGGTATACCAGGCTGTTGCACTCATTACTAATTTATTGTCAGGTGTACATTTGCATTGTCAGTGTTTCTTGGACAACTAAGAGTGTTTGTTTGTTTCAGGACAACGTTCAGTGAGTTTGCCTCCAAGCACGCCAAGGACCCACGGTTCAAGGCCATAGAGAAGATGAAGGACCGGGAGGCCATCTTCATCGAGTTCATGACCGCTCTCAAGAAGAAAGAGAAGGAGGACTCCAAGAACAGAGGAGAGAAGGTGAGCACTGGACTGGAAACCCCCATAACCCACTGAATACAGAAGCCTGAGGAAATGTGTTGGACAAGAACCTAGCTGCCTGGATTGTGTGCTTAGGGAAACCTGGAAGAAATACCTAAATTCAATTAAGTGAAAACATTTTAGAACAATCATTTAAGTTGTTGTTGAATGTCTACCTGACCAAGTGTGTATGTTCCTCTTATAAAACTGGTCTGCCCTCGTGTCTGTCCCAGGTGAAGCAGGACTTCTTTGAACTTCTTGGGGACCACCACCTGGACGGTGGGCAGCGCTGGAGCAAGGTGAAGGACAAGCTGGAGGGAGACCCCCGCTACAAGGCTGTGGAGAGCTCCAACACCAGAGAGGAACTCTACAAGCAGTATGTGGACAAGCAGGCCAAGGTGGGAGGAACAGCCATGGCACCTCGCTCAGAGGCTGCCTGCACCGCTCATTCATACTCTGACTCCAGCTTGCAACGTGTCATCTTCTGGCATTTAACCCAGCCCACTATTCAGTGGCGTGCGGTTAGGCGGTGTTTAGGACTTTGACGTGATGGCTGTCATCGGTCATGCCGCCTGTGATGATTGCAGGCCTCTGTGTGTGTATATGATGATGCTGCCAGAGTGTGTGTGTGTGACGGTCTCTCTCTCTCTGCTGCCAGCACATGGACTCTGATAAGGAGAAGGAGATGGAGCGAGCCGCCAGGATAGAGGCCAGTCTGAGGGAGAGGGAGCGCGAGGTGCAGAAGGCCCGCTCTGAGCAGACCAAGGAGATCGACAGAGAACGGGAGCAGCACAAGAGGGAGGAAGCCATCCAGCACTTCAGAGCCCTCATGTCGGATATGGTGAGCTCTCCCTGTCTCTCACACACACACCTGAAGTTAGTTCACTGAATAAGAAAAATAGGACTACAATTGCTAGTTGAACTTGGGTGAACCAAAAATTGTTTTATATCAGGCCCAGTTTGATATGACCACTGAATAGTTTGAAGGGTGAACAGGCAGATAAGAGTGCGAAAAGTAACCTAATTATTTTTGAATGCATTGATGCACAGACTTGTGTTGTGCAGTGATTATGTGGACAAAGAACTGTGCCAGATCCTAATGCTGGTGTGTGTTGTGATCAGGTGAGGTCGTCTGACGCGTCGTGGTCTGACACCCGACGTAACCTGCGTAAGGACCACCGCTGGGAGTCTGCCTCTCTGCTGGAGAGAGATGACAAGGAGAAACTGTTCAACGAACACGTGGAGGCGCTCTCCAAGAAGAAGAAGGAACACTTCAGGCAGCTACTGGACGAGACCGTCATGGTGAGGGACAACGTTTTGGCTGGTGTTACACTCCATTCCAGGGCATATGTACACTGACATGGCTGCGTGAAATGGGAACTCACTGCAGTCCATCTGTGCATGAACATGCTGTTGACATAGAGGCGGCACTGTAGACCACCGACCATGCATGTCATTCAGATATAGCGTGTAATCCTGTGACAAATGACTTGGTAGTAAGTGCTGTTATTGATGACTGTTCGCCACAGATCACACTGACCACCACATGGAAGGAAGTGAAGAAGATCATCAAAGAGGACCCTCGCTGTATCAAGTTCTCCAGTAGTGACAGAGTAAGACCTTTTTTCTCTTTACGTTACCGGGTGCTACTGGTTACGTCAGCTACCCATGTACTGAGTTAACACCAGGCAGAAACACTGAGGGGTTTGTGTTCTCTGTATCTCAGAAAAAACAGAGGGAGTTTGAAGACTACATCAAAGACAAGTACATCACAGCCAAAGCTGACTTCCGAACGCTTCTGAAAGAGACCAAGTTCATCACGTACAGGTGGGTGCTTGAGAACACATGGGCTAGATTAAATGTTTTACACTGGTACCTGAGGGAATAAGGTTTCAATTGACATTTATCATAAGTCGTTTTTTTTTTAAATGCCATTTATACTTACAATTAAGAATGGAGAGTCAAACAATTGCTTGATCTATATTGCGCCAGCAGGAGGTGCTGTTGGTTCATCTGCACTGCCTCTTTACTCCTCCTATCCTGTTGAATTGTGGTGTAGTCGTACTGTAGTCACAAGATATCGGCAAGAGCCACATTCACGTTTCTCCCAACACGTTATTTTCCACTGACTGCTTCCACCCATGTTGTCCTCAGGTCGCGGAAGTTGCTCCAGGAGACTGACCAGCACCTGAAGGACGTGGAGAAGGTTCTGCAGAACGACAAGCGTTACCTGGTGCTGGACTGTGTCCCGGAGGAGAGGAGTAAACTCATCATGTTCTACATCGAGGACCTGGACCGCCGGGGTCCCCCTCCTCCCCCCACCGCCTCGGAGCCCACGCGCCGCTCCACCAAGTGACCACGGAGACTTCTAGAGAGCCAGAGCATGAACCCGCCCTACACCTGTCCTAGTGCAGTGTTAAAACTGTAATGTTGTAATGCCTCGTCGTAAACCTGGAACATCCATCCCTGTATTTATTAAAAGCAGTGCAGGGCCATCGTGGCTCTCCTCTCCTGTCTACAGGGCCTGATGATGTGCCACTTCTCTGTGACCCCTGACCTTTGGCTAAGGTGAATGGTCAAAGGGTAGGCATAGTAATGCATCTGTGGTTTTCAATCTGCTGCAGTAACCTACAACATGTACGACAATGTAAATGATCAGTTCTGCTGTTTCTGTGACTCAAGGCATTGCAGGCCTTGGTAACTGTTTGAGGGTGTCATTGACATGTACCAACTCGCAGTACAGTTTGAATGCTTCTTCTCAAAGCGGTTTAATTTTCATGGGTTGCTGTTTCTGTAAATGTTTTACTGGAATAAAGCAACATTTTTTTGAAAATCTAGTCTTATGATCTGTCAATGTTTTAATGATTTTGTTACCAAACGCCCTGTTTATACCTGGAGCTAACATGTGTCCTGATCTTTTCCACATTCCGATTGTGCCCACACAGATTAGACAATTAAAATAACAGATTGTGATCTAGGCCCGGTTTCCCGATAGCAATGGAATTTAGGCTTACGAGTGTTGAACGATGCAGCTTTCCTACAACGGCCGAAGATGTATTATGCGTTTCCCAAAACACCACGCAGAGAGACGTCGTTGGAGCATGTGACAATACTGCTAGGATCGAAAGAAAGGCAGCTCTGCTCTCAGATCAGCTTTCTCCATTCAAATCTTTCATAAAAAATTATTTGGCAAGGCAAAAAAGCATTAACGACACACTTAGCTGTTCTACAAGTGGTCCGAGGCAGGTGTTAGATTGCGAGCGTTTTTTTAAGTGCAACGTTAATGATGATGGTCTTGGGAAACCGCTCAGATTTAACAACGCTCCCACGAAGGTTGCAATGATGAACTTAGCCTTAAGATGCTTTTAGGAAACTGGGCCCAGGTCTTCCTGAGGATGCGTTGTAATGTATCTAGATATCTTACAAGTGTAAACTGATCTGGATTATCAAACCATTTAAATCGTCCCCGACATGATGGCACCATTGACTCGAGGCATGTTTCTTAACATAAAATAAAAATGTGCATTCTGCTGAAATATACCCTTTTTGAAAAAAGGGATTGGCAAGATTAGAACCTGTGACCATCCGGTCCCTTTCCCAGTGCCTAGTCCACTGTGCCAGTAGGGGGAAGGGTACTAGCCTTGTTTTTTCACATATATAAAGCTGTTCAGTCAGAAAGTTAGGAGGTTAATTTGATTAGTTAAGATAGTTGGGTAAGGTTGGAAAACGAAAGTCACAACTGGGATTCGAACTGGCAACCTTGCGGGTCACAAACTGTGTTTACCTCCCTAAAAGGCCTTTTTTTATTTGACTCACCTGTTACTCCGCCCACTGACATGTCACAGCTTTGCCCACTGAGCGTTCATCAAACCAATCAATTTGTCCACAACTACCTCCGGAGGAGGATCACAGATAGTTATTTTAATTGTCTACACCTGTCTAAAAATGTGGGCCCAATCAGAATATGGACAGGATCAGGACACATTAGCACCAGGTATAAACGGGGCTAAAGAGAAAACATTTTAGATTCATTTTCTCAGCTGTTCCTGTGATCACTGAGCCCATAATAAAAAGTCATGAATATTTAGGTTACTCATTTTTTTATTATACATTTTGTATTTTTGTAAATGTATTTTAAAAAATTGGAAGAAAAAGCTTGCTACATTGTTTTAATCAATCCGACCCAGTAACACCATCCATTCCTCTGCAGGTATGTTTTGAAACCTTCATGAAGAGAAATTATAAATTAATAAATTAAGAGATACAGAGGGGGCAGGAGAAGAGGTAAAAGGGTGTCAAGCTCATACCATCTCAGCAGCATCTAAGCATGTCATCATCTCAGGGATGCAAAGGGTGAGTTAGTGGAGCCAGTCTCTCAGTTCATCTCCATCTCCCCAATGCAAAGTACTCCTGTTTCTACTAAGGAACATACACATAAAAGTATCATCCCTGCATTTCTGTGCATATCCATCAAAACTAGTGATGGGTCATGCGCACAAGCATCGGCTCTGAGAGCCGGCTCTTTGTAGTGAATCAGAAGAGCCGGCTCGCATCGAGTGAGAGCCGGCTCCCAGTTTTTTGCCCATTCGCTGCTTAGGTTTCACTTTCACAGAGGTCTGTTATGATTGGCCAGCATGGCGACCAGCATGCGGCATTCACGTGAGAATTAAGGATGTGTAAACAGAGAGGGGGCGGGGCAGACACACCACTTGACTCCACTGCAAGTGAAGAGAGAGACAGAGCGGACTGAGGAGCGTGTGTGCGTCTTGCATTGTCGTGTCGTTTAACTATGAGTGACACTAGAAAGCGAAGCAGCATCTGGCTGCAGTTTAAAGATATTGGGAACAAGAAAGCAGAGTGCCTTCACTGCAAAACGAAGGTCACTATAAGAGCAGGTTCCACCACAAACCTGCATAGACATACAAGAACTGTCCATCCTACAGTGCAGTTAGAGGAGAGAGGGCAAGCCAGCTCACCATCTACTGATCCTGGTGTGTCTCATACCAGAACAACAGCTGCTGTAACGTCTACTGCCATCCCCATGCGTGCAAGTATAACCTCTCCTACTGCAACTCAAAGCAAAATAAGTCAGTTTTTACCTAAACTGATGACCCCAGCCAAACAGCACAGTATTGATGATGAGTTGGCTAAAATGGTAGCTTCTGATTTTCAACCCTTTTCCATTGTGGAGGACAAAGGAATGAAAAACTTTGTCAAAGCCCTAAATCCCACATACACTCTACCCAGTAGAAAAACACTTTCCCAAACAATGATCCCAAAACTATATGACACAGAACGTGCATTATGGCAAGAAAGGGTGACAAAAGCTCCATCAGTTTGCCTGACAACTGACTGCTGGACCTCCAGAACAACCTGCTCTTTCATGTCTGTCACTTGCCACTTTATTGAAGATTACAAGATGACATCTTGCCTTCTGGACTGCTTCGAGTTCACCGACAGACACACTGCAGAAAACTTGGCAGTGGAGCTACTAAGAGTGGCAAAAGAGTGGCAAGTAGAGGACAAAGTGGTGTGCTGTGTGAGTGATAATGCTGCAAACATCACCAAAGCCATAAAAGTTTTGAAGTGGACCCATCACCCATGTCTGGCGCATACACTAAACCTGGTGGTTAGAGATGCTCTGAAGGTGATCAAAACAACCGTGGATAAGGTGAAGGCTGTTGTGGAGTTTTTCCACAAAAGCACAGTAGCAGCACAGAAGCTAAAGTCCACACAGCGCCAAATGGGGATTCCTGAACTGAGGCCCAAACAAGAGTGTGCCACCAGGTGGAACTCAACATTTGATATGTTGAAACGAATGCTTGAAATAAAAGATGCCATCATCTCCACCCTGGCCCTCATCAACGCATCTATTGAGCCATTAAGCCAAGAGGAATGGGAGCTGGTGAAAGAGGTCTGCGCCGTCCTGCAACCATTCCAGGAGGTGACTGTGGAGATAAGTGCAGACAGGTACCTAGAACCATTGAAGCATTGTTTTCTCTACTACTATTCAGTCACTATTATACATTGCAAACACAACACATACAGTATAATGCATCACGTATAATATGCCACATACTTTTAAAAAACTAAATTCTAAAAGTTGCTGTTTTCTCTCCTTCAGCTATGTCACAGCCTCGAAAATGCTCCTGCTTTGCAAAGGTCTGCAGCTGGTGACAGCCGAGAACCAATGGACAGTAACTGTGCAGAAAGTGAAGGAATTAGTTGCAGCTCTTTGTTCAGCCATGGACCGCAAATTTCTGCGGATGGAGTACAACACTGTCCTTTCAGAAACTACCTTATTGGATCCAAGGTTTAAAAAACTTGCCTTCAGTGATCGTAGAGCTGTTGATGAAGCTCTTCAGAGGATTAGTGCAGCAGCAGCAGCAAAATGCACCCCCAGCAGCCAGCCAGCTCCACCATTACAGGGCCAAGTGGAGGAGGAGCAGCAAACCTCTGCTGTTTGGAGGCTTTTTGATGACAGAGCTACAGGAGATGCTTCAAGGAGAAATCCGACAGCTGATGCTATAATGGAGGTGAGGAGCTACCTTGAGGAGCCCCTCATCCAGAGAGCAGAAGACCCACTGAGCTGGTGGCAGGCCAAGGCCTCAGTCTTTCCACTCCTGGTGAAGGTGATGGAGGGGAGACTATGTATTGTTGCCACATCAGTTCCTTCTGAGAGAATCTTCTCCAAAACAGGGCAGATACTCACGGAGAGGCGAAATCGTATCAGGCCTATCAGCCCATCCAAGCTGAGGCATCTGATCTTCCTGAATGCCAACCTGCCCTGAGGACTAATGCTGTTTGCTGGAGTTTGGTTCTGGTTTTGATTCTGTTCTGTGGATTTGTTTGAAGTTTATTGTTAATTTGTGCAATAAAAAAGTTTAATTGAAATAAACAAATGTAAGAGTGGTTTTGTCACAGAATAAATGCACAGAATTAGGCATTATAAGGTCTCTCATAAAAACACTGAAAGCAAAAGGGTTTTCAACACATAAACCATGATTTTTTTTCAAAGTTAAGGTAAAATATAGGCTACAAAAGATCCTAAATAAAGAGCCGTTCGGGAGTCGAAAGAGCCGGCTCTTCTTTGGGAGCCGAGTCAAAAGAGCCGGCTCTCAGAAAAGAGCCGAACTTCCCATCATTAATCAAAACTACAGCAACAACTTTGAGGGAGAAAATTGTAAAATGGAGAAAAAAATCTAAATAAATAGGCGTTGACAGCCATTGTTCTCAATGTTCTGGGTGCAACCGAGGGCAACCCTGGATTTACAACAACATGGCGGCAAGTCTCCGAGATCGAGAGAGAGAGAGGAAGCTGCAAAGCTGTCAGTGTCTCTTCTTCACAAGTTGCAGTGCGGCCAGAGATTCCCAGCCTTGCGGCCCTCTCCCAGTCCCCAGCCAGCCAGCCAGGGAGCGCTATGCCGGTCTGTGCTGCTCTGCTCTGCTCTTCGTCCTTCCAACCTTAGTTGATCTTGTCCTGGAATATGTACAGGTTGTTGGTGGCGGCCACGGCGATGATGTTCTCAGAGGGGTGCCAGGCAGTGTGCAGGATCTTCTTGCTGAAATCCAGGCTGTCCACACTGATCTCATCCTTGCGTCTCTTGCCTCCCACACACACCTTCCTGGGCTTCAGGATGGCCCGGGGCTTGCTGTTCTCCCTCGACGCCTCCAGGGTCACGTCACGCTTGGTGTTGCGGTCAAACATGCGGAAGAAGTTGTTGTAGGAGCCGGTCATGATCACACTGTGGAGAGAGTGGGGTGTGGGGGGGGAGAGAAAGTGATGATGCTGCAACACATCAATCCCATTCATCCAACCTTATCTATTGATACACTGATGTAATGTATGAAGAGCTCCAGTCACACCAATCCTAATACAGTGGCTGTCACTGACCTGTCAGACCCGTTCCAGACACATTCAAACTTGTCGAAGATGCAGTCATTCTCATACAGGGAGCACAGCTTACTCCTCAGGTAGTCATGCACCTGGAAGAGAGAAAAAGGGAAAATAAATTGAGATGTATTTTCCAGAACCATATGTTTCGATATATATATGGCTCTGGTATTTTCCATTGCATTTTTCTGTTTTATACCCAGCGATATTAAGAAATGTTCAGAACGATGTATGATCTACAGTGTATCAAGGTCTCCATAACAAGCTTGACACATACAGAAAAGTGTATGTGTTGTAACGAGTAGCCAATGGGAAGCGTTGTGAAGGCTCCTCCAAGCAAAGAAGGCATGAGGAAAGTGGAAGTTAAAGTAACACGCCATAATACGGTGAAGACCTTCTCAAGACCTATCTCAGAGGTTGTCCTCCTCTTGTCCCCTGAAGATGGATGAGATGTAAAAAGTGAAGTTTATGGTCCTCTGTAGCTCAGCTGGTAGAGCATGGCGCTTGTAACGCCAGGGTAGTGGGTTCGATCCCCGGGACCACCCATACGTAAAAATGTATGCACACATGACTGTAAGTCGCTTTGGATAAAAGCGTCTGCTAAATGGCATATTATTATTATTATTAATGAGAGGTATACTCTACCTGGTAGGTCTCCAGAGGTTTGCTCTCCATGTTGAGGTCCCACACTTTGACAGTGAGGTAGTCCCGTGTCATCAGGTAGCGCCCGCTGTGGCTGAACTTGACATCTGAGATGGAGGAGATGATCTCGGAGAAGAAAGAGCGGTTACTGGGGTCCTCTGGCTCCTCAAAGACTGCAGGGGGAACAGACAGAGGAACGAGCTGTGTTAACATCTGGCCGATAAGCAACTCTCTGGCTTACAGCTTCAGTTGATTGATGAAACGCTTTCACACTGCACCAGCTACTTTAAGCCATTAGCTGGCTCTTCTAAACAACCGCTAAATATGAACTAGGAAAAAGAGAGAAATAATACATCTCACTGATAAATATTTGCTAAACAGAAAGCCATTTCTCATGTTAGCAGACATGTATTTCTCAGTAAAAAAGTAATTAACATAGTCATATTTTGCAATGCAAACACATCATTAATAATTGATTATTCACTTCTGGGAATTCATCATCTCTCTTTCCTATTTTATGAGTCGATCCACTTGGGCCACTCAAACAGGCTGATAATTGATTTGAAATGCAAATGCAGCTTTCAACAGTCAATAATTGAATACTGTGAGCTTATTTAAGATATTAAACATAAGATATATGTGCCAATAATGGATTTTATAATATGGCTGTTCTCACTGCATAACCTCCTGTCTGTCTATGATCTGTCAATATGCTCATCCTGGTGAAAACGGATGATTTGGGGCTCAGGGACAGAGCCTTGACTGACCTTGAAACATCTATCACTGTGTGTTTGGATCAACTCAGAGCCATGGAGGAATACACACTGGATCCTGTGGACTTTCTGGTCCACCATTTAACAAAGAACTTAGTACATGGAAAAATGCCAAAAAAACAACAGGACGGGAAAAAATCTATAAAATCCCCCTTGACATCATAGTGCTCTCTGTTTTCTTCCATTTCCACTTCAGCAACCTTATTTTCCAATAATATCTCACAGATAAATGTCCACCTGCAGCTTAGTTAAGTTCAACAAAATGTAGCATGCAATAAATTAATTTACCAACAACTGTGCCAGGATCCCATCATACAAATACAAATTATCACTGTGCAGTAACTTACTAACAATTAGTGGCACAGTAGCTATTAGAAAGGAGTAGAGAGACTGTTATAGAGGTATAGGGGCTTCCGAACTGACAATAGCCTCAGTGCTTAAGGCTAACAGTTTTTCCTGATCATGTGACCTGACGACCTATGACAACTCAGCCCAGAGCTTTTCCTAGGCAACTCATGTGGTCAGGAAAACCCCCTGGCCCTTATCATGGAGCCTGCTGACAATATACAGTATATGAGTGGTTTGGGGTGCGGCAGAGGCAGAGGCAGCCTTACATTTGGAGTGGTTGTCACACAGTGCTGAGGCCCTCATGTCACACAGGCGGATGGAGCCCTTGCTGCTGCTGTAGACGAAGGTGTTACACTGGTTGGGATGGAACTCCGCTGCTGTGATCACCTCTGTCAGCTCCTCCATATTAGCCGGCTTGATGTCCACAATGTCTGAGGTGGGGGGGGGGGGGGGGTAAAGGAACTCAACCATATAGAGGAGTACTGATGCAATTCACAGCTTACAGTTTGAGACTTTAATGGGTTGCTATGGGATGTCCCTTCCTTCTCTTGTCAAATAGTTACTTTAGAGGTTGCCAGAGTAAGCACAAAAAAATGAAAAGAAAAAACAGTGTGAGGAAAAAAGAAGACTTAAAACAAGCAGAAAGCAGCACTGGTACAGAAGAGGGAAATGACAGCAGATCCATCACACAGAGAGAGAGAGAGAGGAGATGAGAGCTGAGGAGGGAGGTTGACCAGCCAGTAACACTGTGATTGATAGAGTATAGAGGCTCTGTAAATAAGAAGCTCAATATGTGCCCAGGGCCCCAAAGCTCAGCCATCCATTCTGCTGTCCACAGGGCATCTCATCTGTGATCTGCAGAGAACCCCAAAGTGGAAATCATTGTTGATCAATGGGGATGTGCTCCTGTTTAAATATGACCTCATTGGATTCTCTCTGACACACACCTGGGATGGGATGCAGATGACTGCTGGACAGACAGACAGGCACCAGATAAAGTGTAATGGCCAGAGTGACAGAGAGGCAGACATATGAAGACCCAGGGGGGATATAGACAGAGACACCAGCAGCTTGCTAATTGCTATCTACCAAGTGTAAATATCAACCAAGCTGTTAGCTCAAATTGCCTTCCATTTAAAGGAACAGTGGAAGTCTATGAGTGTGCTGTTTAGAGGAAGATCTGATCAAGTGGGTTTGTAGGCACACTGGCATCAGCAATTTCATACGTTGAGCCATATGGATCTATATACTTTCATAGTCAGCAACATAATTGGGAGAAAATGTAATGTGTCATTCTTAACTTAAGCCTGGTTTTATCGCACTGATTTATAACCAAGATGATGCAAACCTGACTGGTCTAGCTACATTATGCCGACTCACATTCTCACAGTAAGAATTTGATAGGACACACTAAATTATATTGCATACAAGAGCTTTAAACTGCTGTAAACTGAATACCTTTTTTATTCCTCATGAAAATGAGAAATAATGCAATTCAGAATTAATAGTATACACTACCAGTCAAAAGTTTGGACACACCTACTAACTCAAGGGTTTTTCTTTATTTTTACTATTTTTTACATTGTAAAATAATAGTGAAGACATCAAAAGTATGAAATAACACATATGGAATCATGTAGTAACCAAAAAAGTGTTAAACAAATCAAAATATATTTTATATTTGAGATTCTTCAAATAGCCACCCTTTGCCTTGATGACAGCTTTGCACACTCTTGGCATTCTCTCAACCAGCTTCATGAGGTAGTCACCTGGAATGTATTTCAATTAACAGGTGTGCCTTCTTAAAAGTTCATTTGTGGAATTTCTTTCCTTCTTAATGCATTTGAGCCAATCAGTTAGGTAGGGGGGGTATACAGAAGATAGCCCTATTTGGTAAAGACCAAGTCCATATTATGGCAAGAACAGCTCAAATAAGCAAAGAGAAACGACATGAAGGTCAGTCAATACGAAACTTTGAAAGTTTCTTCCAGTGCAGTCGCAAAAACCTCAGAAATTGCAGTCCAAATAAATGCTTCACAGAGTTCAAGTAACTGACACCTCAACATCAACTGTTCAGAGGGGACTGTGTGAAACAGGCCTTCATGGTCGAATTGCTGCAAAGAACCCACTACTAAAAGACACCAAAAAGAAGAAGAGACCTGCTTGGGCAAAGAAACACGACCAATGGACATTAGACCAGTGGAAATTTGTCCTTTGGTCTGAAGTCCAAATTGGAGATTTTTGGTTCAAACCGCTGTGTCTTTGTGAGACGCGGTGTGGGTGAACGGATTATCTCTGCCTGTGTAGTTCCCACCATAAAGCATGGAGGAGGAGGTGTTATGGTGTGGGGGAGCATTGCTGGTGACACTGTCTGTGATTTATTTAGAATTCAAGGCAAACTTAACCAGCATGGCTACTACAGCATTCTGCAGCGATACGCCATCCCATCTGGTTTGGGCTTAGTGGGACTATATTTTGTTTTTCCACAGGACAATGACCCAACACACCTCCAGGTTATGTAAGGGCTATTTTACCAAGAAGGAGAGTGATGGAGTGCTGCATCAGATGACCTGGCCTCCACAATCCCCCGACCTCAACCCAATTGAGATGGTTTGGTATGAGTCGGACGGCAGAGTGAAGGAAAAGCAGCCAACAAGTGCTCAGCATATGTGGGAACTCCTTCAAGACAGTTGGAAAAGCATTCCAGGTGAAGCTGGTTGAGAGAACGCCAAGAGTGTGCAAAGCTGTCATCAAGGCAAAGGGTGGCTATTTGAAGAATCTTAAATATAAAATGTATTTTGATTTGTTTAACACTTTTTTGGTTACTACATGATTCCATATGTGTTATTTCATAGTTTATGTCTTCACTATTATTCTACAATGTAAAAAATATTACAAATAAAGAAAAACCCTTGAATGAGTAAGTGTGTCCAAACTTTTGACTGGTACTGTATATTTTCTGTCCTCTATCTTAACATCCTGAGTGTGATGCTTGCATCATCATGAATTAGCGAATTCTCTTCCAAAGTGAGAAAATCTCTTAATATGAGTTCCTCAGCGGTCAGTCTAGCCATCTATGTTTGTTGTGAGAAGGATACTGAAGCTCTGGTTGGTGATCTCCAGGTTCCACAGATTGATTCTCAGGTCGTCTGTGGACATGTAGGTCTCGTAATCGTTGTTGACAGAGATGGAGTTGATGTGGTACGTGTGGGCATTGGAGAACACCCGCCTGGGCGTCGCCTCCACCATCAGGTCCATGGGCTGCAGCACTGGCACCTAGGAGAGAGGGAGGGAGGGAGGGAGGGAGGGAGGGAAGAAGAGAGGGAGGGAGGGAGGGAGGGAGGGAAGAAGAGAGGGAGGGAGGGAGGGAGGGAGGGAGGGAGGGAGGGAGGGAGGGAGGGAAGAAGAGAGGGAAGAAGAGAGGGAGGGAGGAGAGAGAGAAGGGGAGAGGGAGGGAGAGAGGGAGGGAGGGAGGGAGGGAGGGAGGGAGGGAAGAAGAGAGGGAGGGAGGAGAGAGAGAAGGGGAGAGGGAGGGAGGGAGGGAGGGAGGGAGGGAGGGAGGGAGGGAGGGAGGGAGGGAGGGAGGGAGGGAGGGAGGGAGGGAGGGAAAGAGAATAAGAAAACATCAAATCACCCATGTATTCTACAGTCAGTAATTCAGTGAGTGCAGTATTTCCGAATGGGCTGTTCATGCATCACTCTGACAGTGTGAGACTGAGCTGAGAGCTCCTCTAGCCAGCTCATAATGGGGAACCCCATGTTCTCACAGGGAGTAGGGGCCCTTAATGATGACAAATCTCAGCCCAAGCCCCTACACACTCGCCACACAACAGGGGGCCCCTAGAGAGACCCAGACCCCCACTGTGCAAGGCCTTGTCTGCCATACTCACACACTTTATGGGCCCCCTTTCTCGACAAATGTTCCAGATTTTGCCTCGTATACGCCTCGCAATTTAGACTAATGCATTGCCAACTCAGTGGAATCAGCAGGAGGCTTGTGCTGATGCGACATGATCATTATCTCTCGATGTGAGGAGGACTCTTCTAGAAGAGCATTAGGGTTTTAGGATTGACAATGACTGCAGGATATAGGCATGAGGTTAATTCTACAGTCATATTTGCAGAAACAGAGTAAATCGGTTTTAAATATCTAGATCCCAAACGAAGGTTTGTGCGGTATATTGGTCCACCACTAGCCCAGACTACTCCTTCATTTGTGTGGAGCTGTCAGGTGTAGTGTGTGTTATTGACAGAGACTGCCCCCTCCCTCTGTCTCTCTGTGGTTCCTCTGGCTGTGTTGGAAGAGCAATAAAAGTGCTGGTAAACGATAACCCCTCACAGAGCTGCTTAACGGCCATACAGGAGGAGCAGCTGTAGCCTGCAGCCCCTCGCCAGGGAACCCCCCCCCACCCCACCTCCCCACCTTCACTAACACTCCCCCTCACACACCCACACACACCCTCGCCTGTCTGTGCAAAGTGATAAATGCCCCTCCAGCCTCTCTCCCCACAGACACACACTGCTCACACACATACACACAATTCACACTTGGAATTGGATTTCTACCGTTCTCAGCCATAATCCCTCAGTTTCTAATGGTCTATAGCAGTGGTATTCAACTTTTTCAGGGGTGGCCCCATTTTTCCAGCCAGAATTTCTGGGGACCCCATTTTTCCCCCAAGAATTTCTCATGACCTCACCCTAAATCTAATGACAACTTTAAAATCGGTACATTTGGATTTTTAAATCAACAAATAACCTTAAATTCATTGCATGAAAAATAAACATTTGCTCAATAAAACCTTCTTTTTTTTAAATGATCTTTCTGAAAATCGTTTGTATATTGTCCCATACCATAATCTGTACTGCCACTGGTCTATGGGCTCGGCACGGGAGACAAGAAAGGTAAAGATAGGTTTAGAGGGAGAGAGAGAAGAAGAGGGAAAAGGGAATATGGAGAATACTGGACGGAGACAGAGTAGAGACAATTTAACAGAGAGATAGAGAGAGAGCGAGAGAGAAAGAGAGAGAGAGAGAGGAAGAGAGGAGCAATGAGTGATAGTGATAACTAGTGACAGAGAGGAGGAGTGGGACATGCTCACTAATGTGCATTCACTCTTGGGCGCCTGCTTGGCTGACCATTATTGGGTATCTGTCTGACAGTGAACACAAACCTGTCAACGCCACACAGACACAGCGCAGCTCAGCACAGCACAGCCAATGATTATCAGATATGAGTCTGCTAGCATGATGAGTGTCTCTCACCACCACGGCACGGTCACACGATCACACAGCGAGAGGTGGAGGAGAGGCATGCTGCAGAGACTGCTGAGGTCATTAACTCATACATCAACGTCTGTTTCTCAGATGAGGCAGCGCTGGGAGGAGCTGCTTCGATCCACAGTTATTACTCAATAGAAAAACCTGGACATGAATCAAGTCAAGCGGGTGATATGTTCAGATAGGATAGGAGAGGCACGGCAAATCCACCCTCAACCCAAATTGATAGTAAATCCTCCTTAAGTGTACCATCTCACCATAAGCATAGCATGCACAGTGGTATGCATGCTAGTGAGCAGTGGACATTTTCAATAACATTGATCCTGTTCTGGTGCCACTACATATTTTCATTGTTAGAGTGGCCACTAGAGTATCTGGTCAATATAATGGATAGTCTGTGCCAGTCCTGGAACCAGTGCTTGACTTGGAATGAAATAGGTGCCAGTACTCATTTTGGGTGCCGGTACTGTTTACATTTAGGTGCAGAAGCTCCACAATACTTTTGAGCTAATATTCTATAAGAGGAACAGGAGCTCAAGCAGTAGAACATTTGAGGTGCCTGTACTCAGCTCCGGTGAGCTCCTGCCCAAGTCAAGCAATACCTGGAACACTGTCGCTCCCTCCCACTCTCCCACTAACTTCTTCCCATTCCATGATGTTTCACAATTCCATCTCTCAACCGTAATGTGATTTCTATTGATTTCCAAAAGCTGCGTTGCGTAAGGGTCAATTTGGGCCCAGAGTGGAAAATGAGAGCATGAGAGAGGGATGATTGGTACGAGCCAGAGGTCTAAATATTGATACAGTTTCTTCTCTCCTAAATCAATATAATATATACTGAGGAGCGCAGAGTCTGAGCTCTTGAAGGAATTTTTTTTTTTTTATGAGAGTGGTGGAGAGAAAGAGAGGATCCAATTCCAATGGTTGTTCTGGGGTTTTCTATCATGTACCACATTGATGATGAAAATAGCTATTTTATGTTTATAAAGAACAGACAACAAACTTCTACCCATCATAAGACCTCTGTTTGTACCAGCTATAATCTACTATCATGGTCTTATCATCTGAAAGCTACCATTAGAGCGGATGTTCCATCCTGCTGTCTGTGTATCCATGGAGATGGAGGTGATATTTGACCCCATGCTGACCCCTGGGTACAGGATGGTGTAGACAGATGGGCTGCTACTAGACCTGGCTAATGTGTGGTCAGTCAGCAGCATGGGCGCTTGGTTCCCCCCACCTTACCCCACCCCTACCCCCCTCTAAGAGCCGGAAACACCCCTCCACACCCCCACACTGACAGACATGTGCATTTGGCAAGATATGAAACCAGGCCAGTTTCTTTAATCCCTCGGTGGCATTGGGTGAGAGATAGAGGCTTAGACTGCCATAGGGAGAGATAATGGCACAGGTTGCTGGAGGAAGGATGACATCAGCGTTCAACCTCTGTATGCAGCACTGGACGGGTGGGCACAGAGATGCCCGGAGGCTGTGGTGACACCGTGGTGGGGTATGGGTTGGCATCTTACCCGCAGGGCGGTGATGGTGGTGGGGTCTCGGATCCTCCCATCCTCTTCCTTTAGGTTGTAGCCCTCCGGTCTCTTGTCCCGCTCACTGATCTTCCACAGCTTCACTGTTTTATCTGCAGGGAGGAGGAGGAGGAGGAGGAGGAGGGGAGAAAGGGATGAGTAACAACAGGCTAGGGCTAAACTAAAAAGGTGTACTGTGCTGATCTGGCTTGGGGAGATAGCTAGCTGCACTAAGGAGGGGAGGAGGCCGACTCTGTAGTGTGCGACTCAATCTGCTGTACTGATACAGTATTGGAAGCTGGCCACTGCGGAGGGTTGGCATGACATAAATAGATAGGAGATATATCAGCTGAGATCAATAGCCTCCAATTAACCTGATTAAAGCCTCCTGTTGCCAGCCCAGCTTGTTCCACTGATGTGTCCAAAGATAGCACTCTGCTCTCATAGGAGTCTGTCTGCTGATGCAAGTTCCCCATCGAATACATTTAGTGAAAGGTGAAAGGAAGGGTACTGCAGTATTGTAAAGGTCAGTGGAGTGAGTGATGAATATGTGAATATGTAACTTGAGAAGAGCCACTTCCTGCCTCTGGTGGCACTTAACATAAATATTTTTCCATGAAACAGCTGCTTGGCTAAAATCAATAGGCTGTATAATGCAACAGATTACGTAATGGAGGTAATGGAACCATTACCTAACACTAACATCAACAAGAGAGCATTAAATTATGGTGATTTCACTAAAACTAGCTGTGTGGCTTACCATTGGTGGAGAGGAGGAAGTTGCTTACCATTGGTGGAGAGGAGGAAGTAGGCAGCGTTCTGCTGAGGCAGCCAGCGGATCTTGTTGATCTTCTCCTCGATCTCCAGGCTCTTCAGGTAGTCAAACTCAGGCTCGTGGCTCTGGAAGGTGCTGTAGACATTGTACTCCCCTCTCCTGTGGGGCTGGTTCTTACTCTGAAACAACAAGGACAATGTTTGAGTTTGTGGAAGAATAGGCAGATGTTCTGGGATTATTCAGCTATTCAGACATACAAAAAAAAGACCAGTGTTTGAAGTTTGACAATTAAATGAAGATAACGATATTGCGGCATTAGGATACAGAGGAGTAGTGTACATTGAGCACAATTTGAGAGTGGGGATCTTCCTATTCCATTGAATAGACAAAATGTAGGAAACAGCAAACCAAGATTTTCACAGCAGTAGATGTGTCGATGGCCTGGTTTCTGCTTTCTATATCAAGCATACATGCGCACACTACCCAGGAACAAACAAAGCATGGGGACTGTAGTATGTGGAGCAGTCACCAAAATCCCTCTCCGGCATTTTACGGGTTGACATAACTGCTGACATAGTACAGTCATTGTGCCTCCATAAGGTATTTTTGTTGAGTAGAAATCGGAGAAATCAGGCAAAAGTGGGTTAAACCTATTGTAAGGCTGTCAGGATCTGTAGTAAGGGCCGGCGAGATAGCTCAATAACAGCCTAGCCCAGCAGCCTCAGCTCAACATGGCAGGTCAGGTATCACCTCAGGAAGCTTCAGAATCAATAGCGCCAAATCAGATGACCAAACAAGAGGGGAGGGTATTAATGGAAACAGATTTGCCCTCTGCGGGGGGTGAAGTCGGGGGGAAGCGAGGGGGTGGGGGAGCGCCTCTGGCGTGGGGATTAGCAGATACTATGGAGCGCCTTGAAATCAGCTGGAAGGTGAAAAGACGAGGGGAAAGGAGGTGGGGGGGGGGACTCATGCAGTCCCTGACGTTCATATTTTCTCACAGCCAGACAGAAGGTTCAGACGCTGTCTAGTCCTTTCATCCAGCTTCCAAAGGAGACTCTAGGCCTCCCCGAGTGGCCCATAATCTTTCCATAATACCTCCTACAACCACTGAATAAACATCCACAGACCCTTAACACTTCTACTACTACTAGTATTAGTACTACTGCTACTGCTACTACTACTACTAGTACTACTACTACTACTACACAGTAACCCAGGGAATGTAAGGTCTCAGACACAGCAATAACGTTTGCTGGCTGAGAGTACTTAGCATCTCTGAACATGTAGAACCGGGTGAAGGCAGTCAGACGTCTACGCTAGATCAACATTCGGTGCGACTTGTGCGATCCTTTACTGGAACACGCTGGCAATCTTTCTTCCAGATCCAACCAACATCTATGAATGGTAATGAATGTGCCGATGTGATGTTATTTCATTCAAGGTTCAATATGGGTTCATTAGATGCAGGTTCATGAGCTAGATGTCGAATGGTTAGTGCCATAGTAAAACATTTGAGTGCCAGGATGTGAGAGACATGAGAAACATAAGAGACATGGTAAGTAGGGGTGTCTGGGCCAGTCTTACCTCCTGTTCTCTCTGGAACACCACTACTCTCCCTCCCTTGTCCCCCGTCGCCAGCAGCTCTCCAGTTGGGTTGAACTCAACCGTGGATATGATGTCAGCTGGAACAGAAGACACACAGAGAAACATTACCTCACTGAGATACTCAATACAACGATACAGTACATTACCCACCTACTGTATGCCTGAATGAGTAATGCTCTGTTTCCTTCACCTCATTGATAACCGTAAAATCAATTTTCAAGACCCAGCTATGTGAAATTAAAATGGTGAATGACTTGAAATACACTACATGAACAAAAGTATATGGACACCTGCTCGTCGAACATCTCATTTCAAAATCATGGGCATTCATATGGAGTTGGTCCCCCCTTTGCTGCTATAACAGCCTCCACTCTTCTGGGAAGGCTTTCCACTAGCTGTTGGAACATTGCTGCGGGGACTTGCTTCCATTCAGCCACAAGAGCATTAGTGAGGCTGGGCACTGATGTTGGGCGATTAGGCCTGGCTCGCAGTCTGCGTTCCAATTCATCCCAAAGGTGTTCGATTGAGGTTGAGGTCAGGGCTCTGTGCAGGCCAGTCAAGTTCTTCCATACTGATCTCGACAAACCATTTCTGTATGGACCTCGCTTTGTGCACGGGGGCACTGTCATGCTGAAACAGGATTCCCCAAACTGTTGTTACAAAGTTGGAAGCACAGAATCGTCTAGAATGTCGTTGTATGCTGTGGCGTTAAGATTTCCCTTCACTGGAACTAAGGGGCCTAGCCCGAACAATGAAAAACAGCCCCAGACCATTATTCCTCCTCCAACAAACTTTACAGTTGGCACTATGCATTCGAGCAGGTAGCATTCTCCTGGCATCCGCCAAACCCAGATTCGTCCATCGGACAGCCAGATGGTGAAGCGTGATTCATCACTCCAGAGAACACATTTTCACTGCTCTAGAGTCCAATGGCGGCGACCTTTACACCACTCCAGCCGACGCTTGAAATTGCGCATGGTGATCTTAGGCTTGTGTGCGGCTGCTCGGCCATGGAAACCCATTTCATGAAGCTCCCGACGAACAGTTCTTGTGCTGACCTTGCAGTTTGGAACTCGGTAGTGAGTGTTGCAACCGAGGACAGACGATTTTTATGCGCTACGCGCTTCAGCAGTCCCATTCTGTGAGCTTGTGTGGCCTACCACTTCGCGGCTGAGCCGTTGTTGTTCCTAGACGTTTCCACTTCACAATAACAGCACAGAGTTGACCGGGGCAGCTCTAGCAGGGCAGAAATTTGACAAACTGACTTGATGTAAACGTGGCATCCTATGACGTGCCACATTGAAAGTCACTGATTTCTTCAGTAAGGCCATTCTACTGCCAATGTTTGTCTATGGAGATTGCATGGCTGTGTGCTCGATTCTATACACCTGTCAGCCACGGTTGTGGCTGAAATAGCCGAATCCACTAATTTGAAGGGGTGTCCACATACATTTGTATATACTGTAAATTGTAGGTGGGGCAAGAGGCAGAGTTAAAAACTTAACCCTGATTCTTAAATGCATTCAAGCGGTCTATTTTCACGCCCCTGCAGTTGATGTGCTCCTCAAGTCTTTGAAGGCCTGCTCAGATAGCATGTCCATGGATCGGATCAATTATCTATGCCGCTAGCTCATCTCAGGGCTGATGAAAGGCCTGGGCCACCACTACAACAACCTGCAGTCTCTCACAATGCTACTGCCCCCTCGCTAGGCTAACTCCATCAGTAGCATCCCCCTGTCCCTCGCCCCCGCACTGTCTGTCACCACCCCATTCATATGCAAAACCCTCTCACACATCTCCCTGACACACTCACCAGATCTCTACAATAACACGGCATGGTGGACCTGGAGAATCATGTACACAGAGATAGCCTGCTGCTTCTTTCTGTGGCAGGGAAGCCCCTGCAATAGGTTTCCACAACTCAATCACATGAGATCAGATACAAATTACATTTTTGGTTCCATACGTCGCACACTCAGACTACTCCATTCTGTGGTTGAAAGTGAAATTGCATTACAAAAGAGCCACTCCACACCCCCTCCCTACAATATTAAAGATGGTAGATAGATGCTCACACTCATGTTCATATATAGAGATGGAAGATCATGTCTGTCTTTACAGACCCAACAGTGTGGCCAGGCATCCAACTGCATTCTAGGGGCTTAAAGAAATGACAAAGGAAGCTGCCATTGTTGGCTGTCTTGCGGTGTGATGAGGACTATCTAACCCACACAGCCACAGAGGAAAGTAGGGCAATCGGGGATGTTTAATTAAAGCAACCCCTCACTAGGGAGCGTTGAGGAGCTGCGACACCACCATGGAACTTAGGGGCGGATGCTCTCCCCTCTGTGTAAACAGCCAGCCATATCAGTGCCACCACAGCCCCAATACAGCTCACTGTACGCATTAAACAGCCTCTCAAGTGTCTCATACTCCACGCCCCGCTCTTGACTCGACGTACAATTTGCCAACCTCGAAGAGACAAAGAGCCTGTATTGCTGTCTCTGTGCTGCTGGCTGTTTGTGTATGCTGCAGCAGTAAGCTCTACCCTGCCCTGCCAGACAGCAGAGGGGATTTGCTTCTAAATGGAGGATCTGTATGCATAACTATCCTCAGCCCAAACACACAGTCTATCCAAGGCGGTAGAGAATCCTCTCCGTCTCAGTCTCCTTATCTAACCCTGTAGGTTCCCTTCTGCCAACGTCACACACAACAAAAACTACCTGACACACTTAGCTACCTCACATGACCTGTCGACTGAACGCACCAAACATTGATTCAGGTCAGGACATCCAGAACTGAGATGTATCAAGTAGAATATCTATCTCAAGCTAGTTCTAGCATTGTGAGGTTAAGATAATTCAACTGGCATGCCTAGAATGGAATGATGTTTGTTTTCATCTGAAAAACAAATGAGTTGATCGTGAGTTTTCCCTCAAGCAGATTGTGGTCGATTGATTCCTACCTTTGACACATCTTCCCTGGTCTTCCTCTAGCAGATGCATCTGTTTTAGAGGCTGTGCCTGGGTACACTGTTGCTATGCAATCCTCTCAGAGATAAGGGTACATACTCTGCCAGGTGGATCGCGCTCTCATTCGCAGGTATATTTGTCTTGTTCAAAACTCTCTTCAGACCTGAAGAGACGAGTCCCTCGCACACATACACACTCACACACACTCGCTAACAGAGTGCTTTACCGACAACGCTCGGTCCGGATTTGAATAATTAACATTAAACGAAGCAAACAAACAAGACCAGGCTTTTAAATAATTATATTTTTTTCCCAGGAGAAGCATGTCAGAAATAGAGAGGGACAGAGCGAGAAAGAGAGAGATGTGTTTTTTTTGTGTGTTTAAAAGAGAGAGAGTAAGAGAGAGAGAGAGAGAGAGAGAGAGAGAGAGAAACATAGAGAGGGAGTATGGAGCGATTTCAGTGCCAACAGATTTTTTTTATTTATTCCATCATTTGGAATTTGTATTAGGATATTGAATTTGAATTTAATATTTTTGAAATTGTAATGCACAAATTGAATCATGGAATTCATAAATTTAACTTGTATTTCCTGATTTGAAATTGAATGAATATTGCAGTCAGCTTTAACAATTAATTTCAATTGAATTTAATATTGAAGTTCAATATTTATATATTCATTTTCAATATGCTAGATATTGCATTAATTGTCTGTGCATCAAGTTTACAAACTATAATTTCAAGTTGATCAAAGTTTCATATATTCAACTTCTTAGATGCATTCAGATTCAGTTTTCCAATTCAGTTCTCTAAATTCAGATTCAAAACCAGAGACAACATCCTGGTACTTTGCCAGCCAGGAAAGGCGGAAGAGAACAGATAGAATCCAAAGCTCACGTTGGTAAACTTCTGCCGGTTTCTGACACTGGCAGACTCTGGCATTTGAACCGTTTTGGCTATGAGCTACTATGACCCCATTCCTGAAAGCTAAGACTCTCTGGAGCAGGGATGTGGGTGTTCCCCTCTATGATGATCACAGGCTGCGTTAGGTGGGAGTGTCACAAAATGTGCCCCCCATAAGAATATAGTTGAAATGCCCTGTCATAGCCCTTCTAAGGATAGCCTTTCTACTCCTCTTTTAATCTTGATCTGATATGCCTGGGTTTGAACCAGGTCTCCTGCATGTCACAAGACTGTGTTAGCCCACTTAGCTAAAGCCTATAGGGATAAGTTCAGGAAGTTCATGTAAAGGACGACACACTGCTTGCTTAACGAGTACCGCTTCCCTCTGATTCAGCTCATACCAAGACTCAAACTCAGGACCTCTGCCTCGCAAACACACTTGACCGCCCTCCTGATGCATTCCAACCCACCGGTCTATTGAAAAAGGCCTTCTACAATTGCGCAAGGAGCAACACTTCAGGCTGATGAGCAATGTTCCCTGTAAGCTGTGCGCGGGAATGCAGCTCCCCCGGGATTGCCGCGCAAAATAAATATCAGCCCGCACAGAGAAGCACGCGATTGAACTTCACTCAACTTTCTAGTTTTCCCCTTTAGTTAACACTATCAACGTTTCCCTCTACTGTAGGAATTGCCAATATTAGCCACTAATATAGATGTTTGGTCAATAGGCTATATCGGTCCGCTAATACAGGATGATTAAAGGTCCAGTGCCTTTAAAAATTCAGATTTTTCCGAGGGTGCTGCAGCAACCTCAGCACCCCTACTTCCTGCGGCTATGGTAGATGCGCTTGTTTTGAGATCAAAGCGAGAGCTGCATGTAGCCACGTGTGCACATTTGTTCATGTTCTTTGCTAGTAAGTGAGTTATTAGCCCAGTTTTAGCTCATTTCTAGTCAGCAATTGGGGAGTGGTTGCTTCCTTCAAGAGCACAAAACGTGTGCATTTCTAGCCATCTTTGAAAAGCGAGTCAGGTAAAGATAATTTTTTCTGTCTTAAACGGGCAGTGTTGTATTTTGAGACCGGCTTGAATAAGCTAAGTAGCCAATAGGCAGAGTGTAGCATAATTTGTCTGATTCTCTGTAATAATGGTTTGGGAATAATAATGAACTTTATTTTGTAAAGTGGTTTCTTGCATCAAACAA